ATCTTGCCAGGAGATTTTATGCGGCGTTTCCAGAGATATCTGCTACGTTCTTTTTCTTTTCTTGCTTAGATTGCGATATGAATTTCGGCGGCGCGCTTCTTTGTTGGTCGCGTTGGTGGAGGCGCCGGGGTGAGTTTTCGAGTGCGGTAAATTGAGAAATGCTGGAGCGCGCGCGTCGGGAGGACGTGGCGCGTTGCCCGAACACGTGCGCGTATAAATTTCGCCGTGTATTATTTGATATTTGACATCTTGCGAGTTGCGGCGGGTGTCGTCTCAGTGTCGCGCGACCTTGTCGCTGAGAATTTTGAGTAGTTTACATAGGGATAAGACGTGAGCGAAGTGACAACCTCACCAAACACTAACCGAAAAGTGACGATGACAAAAATTCAAAATGGTGTATATAAAAAATTATGACTCATGAATTTTTTTTGCTTCCTTGGGTTTGTTTTATGAATCCTTTGAGGATTTAGTGTTAATAAAAAATTGCGAGGTATTTTTTTCGTTTTGGTCTTGTTAGCGGAGTTATACCCACCTCGCGTGCGTCGTAATTTCGCCAAGCGCACGCTGACCAACTTCCTAATTAATTGAATTATATTTATTTAGTGCGCTCCAGCTCCGACAGATCTGCGGCAGTGATAAACTAGATCTAAACTCGAGTCGCAGCGTCGCTTGTTAGCGTAACTCACTGCGCTCCAACTACTCGCAACCTTTTGGGCCAACAAAACACATTCGCCAAGCATGTAGCCGTCGTTCGATGTAGTCTCGAAGGTCTCGGAATATTGTACAGGGTGGAAAATTGCCTCAAATCGCACGAAATTGGCCGAAATGGCAACGCGGATGCAACGATATATTGTTTCATACCCGGACTAATACTAAGTGGCACGGGCGTAGCAGTTCTGGTAAGCAGTGCACACAACCGGACGCAGAGACCGGAAATCCCGAGGATAGGCGCCGTACGGCACAGACAGGAAATACAATTGATCCAACAAGACGCCACCGCCGCTGTACAATTACGTATTGCGCGCGGAGAGACTTTCGACTCGGGGCCGGCGTTCGCCCAAAAACAGAACAACGGCCCCGGTAATCCTTCGGCCGAAGCAGCGTGTGCGTGCTCCGCAGCAATAAAACGTCAACGAACCGAAGGCGCCCGGCGAAAACGGACCAGAACGAACGTGCGCGCATGTATACACGTGTTTCGAGCCGCCACACGGCTTCGAAAAACAACAATTGGACCTGCCACCGGAGTGCCACTCGAGAATAAGCGGCACGAATGGAATTCGGAATGATTGCCATCGAAATTCATCCGCACACCGGGCGTTATATATAAATAAAACTTTGTGAGTTACAGCCAGCGCCATCTATTAGTGACTAGTGTTTGTTTATAGGTTAAGTTATGGAGGGTAGCAAATTGTAGGCAAATTTCGTGTTTGGCGGCTTTTGGGGGGAAAAGCGGCATTAATACGAATAAATAACGACCCTCGGAACCTATTATCGCTGGCGGGCGCCTTTGGTGGCTTGCCTTTTGGCGGCACTCTATAAATCCACCATAAAGCCGCCATGGTCGCGACCGAAACGACGATATCAAACAAACCGAAACGTTCAGCGTCCCGAAACAGCACACACAACATATATATCCTACCAACACAAGTTGGTGGCGGCGCCGAGAGCAGTGGTTGCGGCCACCGGGGGGCGGTGATAGCTCAACGCATGATATTATACGATTTCCAATCCGCATGTGAGCGCGATTTTAGCCACCACCAGCGTCGTTGTTTTATTTATAGCTTTTGTCTAAAGCGCCGCCGCCAGCAGCCTGAAGAGGGCGCATTGTCGAACAAACAACAAACACTAATTAACCGAAACGCATTTTGCGGGCGGGAAACGAGGCAAAACACCAGCGGTGAAATGGATAGCCAATAACCGGGCGATGAATATGAATGCGCACCAAAACGGATGCGCATGTTGTTTAATTAAATTATTTACAGATTCACAAGCGCAGCCCTTTCAGCGCATTAAAATTATTAACAAACTGTTACAACACTCATAAGTAAATAATTTTATTATCATTGATTTTGAAGGGCATAAAGTTTATTTTTTATAAAATATATTTATTAAAATAATTTGTGATTTTTCTTTCGACTTTACAATTTGTTTGAGAGTTTAACATGTTTCAACAAATTGTAAAATCCAAAGAAAAATCACAAATTATTTAAAAAAATATATTTTATAAATTACTACCATGGATTACGTATTCAACTTAGAAAATAATAAAAGTTAATTTTTTATTTTTTTGTGATTTAAATAAAATATAATCCTGAAGATATAAACCGTAGTAGCGAAAGCTTAATCGTCGGCTCAGGAGCTAAAGTCTGAGCTAGAATGCGGTATTATTTGTCTTCACTCGAGAGTCCTGACTAATCACATACGTCGCGAAAAGGAATCGCATTTCTCAGCCGAACGTATGCACGCTGGGCGCGCATATAACAATTAATATACAGAGTGTTACATTAAATTTTCACAAATATTTATTTACATTTCAACCAAAAATTAACGAAAAATACTTTAATATTGAAATTTTTACAGTGTGTTTAAATAATGTAATTTTAAAGCTCTATGAGTAAAAATATTGTGTAAAGTTGAAGATTGCGCGGCGCGCCTCGTAAAATTCTTCAACATTGTGCAGAAGCGGGTGTCGCGTCGTTAGTGGATGGGCCTCCGCCGGAAGATTTAATGGGCGCATCCCCATGTGTGTGTTTGTGTGCGACGCTGGTTTTCCCAGCCGAAAAGACCGTGGAAAGCGCGCGCCCGACGCTATTATGTAATGCCGCGAGGATTATCCCCGGTTTCTAGTTCGTTAATTTTAACCAGAAGAAGTAAAACGTCCCCGATAATTCCCTTTGTTTGCCGCGCGCCGCTCGTACACACATCCTTCCACGCTCCGGGAGCTCATGCGCAAACACATTAACCAACACACACACACACACGCGTCGAATAGTCATATTTTTACTTATCTCAGGTTAAGAAAAAATATATCACACACTTTACTTAAACCTACGAGTTTTATAAAAAGCGTTATGATATTAACTGCGCGTATTAAACTAGATGGCTGTGAGCTGTGAGCGTGGATATTAGTGGAGTGGTTTAAGCCGACGCGACGATTCGAAACGATTACAACTTTAACGACGTTTAAGACTACCGCTTAGTGACATTTAAAGGCCAGATAGTGTGCGACTTAGTAATGTTCGACATATTTTCCCAACGAAATGTTCACTTTGGATCAAAATATATTGGATTATAATTTGTCAAATCATTGATGGAAAATAGACGCAAAATGTTAACATCACATTTGTTTGAACACAATTGTTTGAATATATGCATAATGCACACAACAATATTATTGTTGTTAATTGAACAGCAGTCGAATTTCCGATCCGGTAGCGCTTTTCCATTATAATTACGGCTGAATCCTCTGTCACTTTACAATTGTTTGCAATCGCGCGGAATGTCCACTACAATCGCGGTTTTATCTCGGTGTGATATGATATTTCTGTTTCGATTCGTTCGCACATTTATTTGCATTATAACCGCCGCCGCATCCGCGTGTCGCAAATAATAATTCATGAGCATGTCATAAATTTCACATTCGGGCGCAAATTGAAATTGACGAAATCAATTTTATTGCAAATTAATAACAACACACCGCTGGATGGGCATTTGCGCCGTTATTTATAGTGATTGAAATCGGATAAATAAGTGCGGAAAATTTACTGTCACTGCCAGCGCTGCTCCGAATAGAAATTAATTAAAAACATGCCTATGGACGGGCGACTAATTAATTTTCTAATTTAATAAATTTAATAATTTATATCAAAACTAAATATTTGATTTATTTCAGTTCCGAAAACGTGTAATTTATTAGTTGAGGAAATTTATTTGTGTTGCTAAGTGAAACTGTAGCTTTAGTTTTTGAGTTGTTGTTTATATTGTTGATGCATGAGCTGTGTCTGAACTTCTTATATAATTCTTTTCCGACGAATCGCGTAGATTTATGTTTGGTTCGAGCATCAATCACGTTTTACTGTCGGACTTGTTGCAGTTTTTAATCAAGCTGACTCAAGCTGCGCTCTCTTCACTCGGATATAAAGCCAAGTTTAGCGAAATGTGAGTTTCTGTCTGACTCGGAATTGGCACGACCTTCTGTCGCTGTGGATTTATTAATATTAACTTTTTGTTTTTCTTTAAATAAAGTTACATATCAGATGTCCGCGAACGTGACTTATGACGCAACTAATTACAGATTTTTGAGTCTTTTTTTTTTAAATTAAGTGCTTATAGATTATTTACTTCTTTGTCTCGTGGTGAGTTTTCAGTGTTGATGAGTCTTTTATTCGCGTTCATTGTGTCGGTGGTATTGTCGACGGTGCGCGCGCTGCCTTTGCAAAGAAGAGATATTCGTCTAACAACATTAATATTTTCATAATTTGACATTATCTCGAAACGTTTCGCTTTGTTGCTCGCGCGTCGAAAGGGTTCGCCTGCGTGCGTCCTGCGCTAAGCACACAGAAGACTCGCCGTGAGCGAGCGGCTTAAAATAATAAACGTTGGATAAACTTTTCCAATTATGAAATGTTTAGCGCGCATACAAGCAATTTGCTTAATCTGTTTACAAAGAAAATATTTCTTGAATGAGCGCAAATATTTTATTCTCATCATACTGGAAAGACACAAAATGGAGAAATTTACGTTACGAAATACTTTTAGTTTATATCTTGAAACATATGATATCAAAGATATCACTTGATCGTAATCCATTGTGGTTTAATCTACAAAGTTTTGTAGAAACTTAGAGTCCTTTATTCCAACCACTATTCTCTTCTGTTTTTTGGTCTTTTTGCGTCGAATGTGAGTCAAACAAAGAGCAGAAAGTTAGTAGTTTATGTGACAAAATCAAGATTTCGATTTTGCCCCTCGAACGCGCAATTAACGTTATTTATTTCTTCCAGTTCCAATGGAGGATGTCCAGGGTGTGATGCACAAGAAGAAAGGCTTGCCATGCGACATCACCCCAAGAGATAGAGACGATGGAGTCGCTATGGTGTTGTGGTTCAAAGAAACCATCGGTGAACCATTATACAGGTAATGATCATAATTAATTTTTCTCAATGTGGAGGCGCCGGGCATTGTGTCGTTTAAAATGATAAAACTACGAAAATTTCTATCAGAAAAATTTACTTTATGTTTTGTGCACATTGCAAATTAGACTCTCACGTCCACCGCGCGTGGAACCCTCCGCAGGCTTATGCTTCCCAACACTTTGCTCGACGTTTTCCCGAATGTTGCAAACGTGGCCAGTTGGGGCTCGCGTGATGCTCACGTTTTTTCTTCCTGTTTTATTTTGCGCCTCACCACGCCTGATGTGCCGACTGGCCGGGTAGAGGCGAGTTCTTTCGCCGCCACCGCCGCCGCGGTGGCAGCTTCTGGATGTGAACGCGCCGCGTGGGACGAGTGGGAAATGGGCGTCGTTTATTTTTTCATTACGCCTGCCTCGCACGATTTTCATTTAAACGTGCCGATTTTCACAAGCACCTAATTGAAAAATTCTTTATGCCGGCGAACGCTTGATGGCGCGGACTTAAAAAAGAGCGCCTAATTCAGTTTTAAAAATGTGCTACCACTTTGAGGAATAATATTTAATATGCTTGGAAATAAATTTTTACTTGTTGCAAGTATTTTCAAAGAGTAGAGAGAATTCGAGTAGAGAGAACGTTTGCGTGCATATCGAGCAATTTTCCAGTGCATAATGCACTCGGCATTTGCGTTTTCAATGGGTTGCATTTGACTATTGCGCGTGTTCCGCTATTTTCCATTTTAACGCGTCGCCGGCGGCGATAAAGGAATGAAAAGATGCCGGAACGCGAGAAGTGCATCGCCAGTATTGCGAATCACGAATCGCGGCTGTAAATAAGTGCATCTTGATCTCAAACTCGACGACTGCACAAATAAAAGAACGTGGAAATACGCGCGTTTCGTCGCGTTTCAGTTTACTCTAGTCGAAATTCGAAAGTGTTCGAAACTACGGCGACAAAATGATTTAAAGGTCATTCACAAGTTTGCGGTTGAAGTGATTGTAAATCAACTTGTTTCTACAGTATGTTTAAACATATATTGTGCATAAAGTCTTTCTACATTGTGTTTCTGATAAAATTTGTCTCTGATGATGAAAAAAAGTTTTTCTTTCAAAACTTTACGACCTCAATTTATATTTTTCGCAAAGTGTGCGCGCAAAATCCGCAAGTTTAAATCATCTCTCCCACGAGTATCTTTTGCATTCGCGTTTGTTGCGTTTGTGGCTTTTTTTTTCGTTTTAAATTTGCGAGCGGCCGCCATTGTATCGTGGCTGTAAAAGCACGGCCGGAAAGAAGGCGATGACCGTGCGCGTTTGGCAAGCAAAGCCAACTCTCGCACAACTCCGCTAACTCTGGGCAATATCCATACCTCTACGTTCTGCTGAAATTACACAATTTCGGTTATTCAAATGCCAATGGTTATGCCGCAGTCGACAAAATCCCGGCGCAAACCAAAACCGAACTAAACCGGAAACACGTATTGAAAGCACTAAAACACCAAATGCGGAATGTGATACGCTGTAGACTGGAACAAAAGTGAACCAGAAAATTCAATTTGTATCAATTTACATTTGTCCACACCTGGGAAAATTATTTTTTTAGTTTTTAAAATTCGTTTATTTTCTTTATTTATCAATAAGCTACGCCACTGATTAAAAGTGATATCGATTGATAGTTACACATGAATTTCTGTGTTTTTCTAAGACAAAATTCCAACATTTTGGCGAATTGGAAAAACTTTTCCTGATTTAATTGGATTCAAGTTTTGCTTTTACCGAAACAGTTTTCTCATTTAATTTTACTTCTATTTGAAATTTATTTATTTTTCTTTTTGGCAATTTTAAATTATAAAATACAGGATAATTTAAAACTAACCTCAGGCAAATTGACCTAAATATTTGTATCCGTTTTCCGGTAGATAGACATTTAATGGCGTTGCCTCCCTGTGAGTGAAAAACTGTCCGAACGAGGCAGCACGGGAAGCGCAGGAAAACGGCAAAAGCAAATGCAAACTGTAAATGTTTGGTGACTTTGCGTTCCGACAAGCAGCAGGAGTATTTACATGTCGCTGCAGTTTTAATTTGAAACTTGGCTTTTATTTCGATTTTCCTGCTTCGCGGACTTGACCAAAACGCTTAGGAAAAAAATCCTAACCGAGTAAATAGTTTTAATGGTTTATATTTAATTTAAATCCTCTCTAAATGCGTAAATTTTAAATTTAACCTCAAAAAATTTTATTTCTAAAATGTAATACAATGTAGGTAGATGTAAACGACGTTTCTGGTCTGTATTCTGTAGTCTTTATAAGTTGTAATTAATTTTATCAAAATATTTGCTAAATTACAAACGAGTCGCAACTTGATTTAAGTCTTCTATTAAAACCGCCTGCGGGCTCGTTTCAGCCGGCTTTCCGTGTCTCTTCAGGTGTTCTACGATGGCTTTCAGCGCGCGCTTAGTTTCGCTTTCTTCGCCTCCGGCATTCTTTGCCTGTCCTTGTATACTTACGCGTCGGTAATCCTACGTGCGTAAAACGTAACGAGCCATAAGCGCGTGCCGAAAACCCAAAAGGTAAAAGTGAAGACGTAAAGACATCAGGATCACCTTTTATGTCCCGGATGAATATTCATTACAGCGACAAGGACAATGAAAATAAAAGCTGCTTTGAAAATTTTAACTAAAACTCAACTCGTAAATTTTCCAAAATTAAACACAACCATCCCACGTATTATTTTAAGTCTCTATTTAATAATATACTTGAAAGTTTTGGCAATTTTTAATATTTTGAGTTGATCTGTGGGATTTCTTGCGTTTTTGGCGGTTTGAGAGATGTGAGTGTTGCATTACTCACGCATCATTAATAACCCAGCACCGAGGAGGCGGCTTGGCCTTCGAGGAGCAGTGAAAAATCGTCCGTCCGTCGGCGCTGGGGGTGTTTATCGACGCGGATGCGATCCGGAGCGATGGCATCAATTTGCGCGCCGGAGCGCTCCGAGAGCAATCTAAATATTGCTAAAGTAGCTGTCATTTGGTTCGAAGTGCGCGCCCTTTGTCGGAACACCACGGGCCAGTTGCCGCCCCTCTTGGCCCAATGATGCGGAACACCCGGGATGTTTCACATTACCCAACCGCAACAAAACGCCGCTTAAAGTTTGCCGATTTATAAGTTAATTCAGACATTAATACTAATTTCACACAAAAACTTTTTTGTGTTGATTTTTCGGAAAACACCATAAATACATTAGTGTTTATTACGGTAAACATTAACTTGGTAACTTACCCTCCCTTTCCGCAATCCACACGCGGTTACAGTTTATGTTGTCCAGTTTTGCCCACTTGCCTCAGGTAGTTTATGTTTAGCTATATTGCCGCACCGTTTGTTAATGGAAATTGCTCGCTTTTTTCAAGAGGGTGCGACCTCGCCCAAAATTCAAGGCCGAGGGGAGCTAATAAAATGGACAACGTGCGTTCGTTCACATGTGTCGCTCCCCTGGCTTGCTTTCAGCAAAATCTAATAATATTCGATTTCATTCCGATTTTAATAATGCACACAGCTCTGGGGGGTGAAACTCGATGCAAAATATTCGATATTTTTTATATTTCTGAAGCAGTATATTTGCTTTTATTAAAAATATATACACAAATTAGCTACTCACGCAAGAATAAATGACATTTTTTATTAACTCACAAACAATCCAGCGAATAATGTAATGTTTTCAAATTTCGCGTTTTTCGTTTGTTTGCAATTTGAAATTTTCTCGGTTTGTGCCTGCCGCAGGCGATTTTTGATATCAAGACATCTTCTGTGGAGTTTTCCTCGAGGAGGTGAAAAATCGTCTCGGTTTTCCAGTCGCCAGATTGAAGCAAACTGAAGTCCGACGTAGAATTTCTTGTATAAACAGCTTCGGGTCACCAAGGAATAGATTAACTTTTAACTTTCTTTCGTTTCGTGCTTCTGTACCGCACAGCGTCGAGATGGTTTATCAGAAAGTTTAATTTACTTTCAAAAATATTTACACGTGCCGCGTAGCGGACATATTTTCAGTGATATCAGAATGTAATTACAGTAATTTACCGCAATTGTAATTACATAAATTACGAAAATTGAGATGATATCAAATGAATGAGTTTTAATAGAAGTCTTCCGGAATGGAGGAAAGTTTATGCACGGTTTTTGAATGGTCATAAAAAAGTTAAGTAAAAATCCTTCGCTGAACTCGCGTATTCAGCCCGGAGGCTTTATTGCTTCCTAATAAAGTCGAAAATATTTTCCGCCCGAGCAGAAGAAAGAACTGCCGCAGGGGGCTGGAAGATCTTGAAGTCGTTTCTTAATGATCCTAGTTAAGTGTCTTTCCCTCGCACCCTCGAAAGTCGAAGCCTCTCGAGAGCTGTTAAGTGAACGCGTTTTCAATTGCTTAAACTGCTTAGAGATTTTTTCCAGACGGAGTCAATCTTTGCAGCATCGGGTATGAATTCGTTAGTAGTTTCGCCGTGGGAGTGTGTCAGTCAGCGCGGAAAAACTGCGAGAGTAAAGTAGCGCGCATAAAAAAGTTTATGAAGAGACTTGAAGTAAGAGTAAACGTAGAAAGTTGATGTGTGTGTGTTTGGGTAAGAAGGTCAGGAGTAGTCTGGATGGACGAATGCCATTCCCATTAAGAGTTTACAATGTAATAAAAGACGGCAAGCATGTAGTCAAAATGATATGAAGCTAAGAAGCTGAATAACTTTTGCAAAAGCCGAGCGAGTGAGTAAAAGTACAGCAAACACGTTTGGTTTTTTTTTATTGCGTGGTTGCCGGTGGGGTATCTTTAATTTTAGTGTTTAATATCTCGTCAGATGGGCGCCATTTTGATGTCGTATAAATGAGGTTAGGGCATTTCCGGTTGCCATAGGCACCTGCCTATACTCTCATCATTTTATGCCTCGTAAATTGAGCTTTTTACATCCACTTTCAGGGCGCAAGCAGAACAAAATCAATACCTGCATAAACAAATATAAATAAATATTTATTGAGGTTTTAAATTTTATACGCGTATAAAGATTTTACAGGTATGATGATATTCAGGTGAAATATTCATTTTGTGATTTTTTTGCTTGCAGTTTTGACGTGCGAGGAAGACTGTTCAACCAGGCAAAGCTGTGGTCGGCGCCGACAGTTTTTGGCCCGAGGGCTTATTTCCGGGCGGCGACCAATCCGGCAACGCTGGTCATCGACAACATCAGCTTGGCCGACGAAGGGATTTACAGGTGTCGCGTCGACTTTCGCAACTCGCCGACGCGCAACAGCAAAGTGAATTTCACTGTAATCGGTAAGCTTAAACTTTTAACCTTTAAAACCAATACACGACATCTTGCTACATAATGTTTTTTGTACTTTCATCTTTAAAGTGACACTTTTCACGTTTTTGATTCATAAAGTGATATTTTATACACGGACGGTCAAGGCCATGACTAAAATACTTTAGTCACGGGTTTTAGTCACGTGATGGACTTTGCACCTGCGCATTAATAAAAAAATAGAAATAGAAAAAATAATCTAACCATCACGTGTTAAAATGTTTTTAATATGCCGTTTAGCGCATTAATATTCCATTATTTTATTAATTAGCCGGAAAATGAAGTTCTTCTTGTGTAGATTCATGTAAAATATTTTACACATGTTTTTCCCTCAGAAAACATGATATATTTACTCCATCTTAAGATTTTTTGCGTTTTTCGCAAGTTTTCTTCCCTTTGCCTTCTTTCAATCGATTCGTCGAAGAAATATATCCCGCTGTTTCTTTTATCTGCCCGAACGCTTGCGCTCGTCCGCCCATCCGAGAGCCATAATATCAATGAGCCGAGCGAAACAAATTGTCGTTTTAGACAAAGCATTTCGCATCGGGCCATTTGTGTCGGCGCGTATATTTCAACCGTTCGTTTCGCCGCCTTTTCCCATTCGTTTTGCGTCGTCTGCAGTGTAACATTGGCTCGATGTATCAGAACTTCGGGTGGTTCGATTTCCAACCGCACACGATGTGAAAATAAAGCAGCGCGAGAAAGAAACGAATCGGCAGAGAGACAAATCAAAACAAAAGACTTGCTCTGCGGTGGAGGCGGCGGCGGGAGAAGTTGTAAGTTAAGGGCCTGCGTTTCCTCATATGTTTACGTTGGACTTGAGTAAATATTTTTCTTTTGGTTCAACAGCCTCAACAAGAAGGAAACAGAGTATGCGCACATTGTGGGGTGCATGCTAATAGATTTTAAAATTCAAACGACCTATACACAACCACAAACATTTTAAAAAGTCATGAGAACTACTCATTCATAGATGGCGTTAGTGGTTTATAGTGATATTACTCATTCGCGAGTGGCACTTTATTATCTCATCAATTGTTGACGCCTGACACGGTGCGTGTTTGCCAGAAGTCGTTGAAGTCGTTTTCGGCGCATTGCACGTCAAATACTTGGGGTTGGAGGCGGCAACGAGCGCGCCATGAAAGTCATAGGCCGCGGATGATGTTTTCGCGCCGACGAAACTTTGGTTTGCGTTGATTAATCCAACTGGCGCACTTCAAACTCTGCTTTCACCACCACTTCTACCGACGCCACCGCCGCGAGTCCCACGCTTAAGGGATGGTTCACGTAAACCACAATTTCGTCATCTGTTCAACACGTAAATGTAATCATGTAAATTAGATATGCAAATGCACTCCTCTCCTCACCCACTGCTAGTTTGGTGACGCAAGAATACAAAATTTATTAAATGTTGAAATATTTTGTTAATATTTTTACTAGAAAATAATGTGTGTAATTTGTAACAAATGTTCAATTACTTTGGTCCACATTTACAAAACGCGCAAAATTTACGCGCCGTTTAAAGTGATAAATGCTCAATTAAAAACGCATGTTATCCGCGTGCATTCGCCGCTCGCATGTGTGTTGGGGGAGGCGGCGGCGTAAATCATGCGCGCTCGGGCAGTTCATAAGCAGAAGTGGAAGTATTAGATGTGAGAAATGAAAGTCGCGCGTTTTCGGCTGCAACATGTGCGCCGGCGAGAATATATGGAAAGCAATAAGTTGCCGCCGCCGCTCTGGCCTGCATCCCCCTCTCGGTTTGGGCCAAAGAACCGACATGTGATGTGATGTACAATCGAGCGGAGAGCGCCCCGAGAGTAATATGCAAGAAATTGCATGAATTGTTGCGAATTGAAGATTTAATTTCGCAAAGAGCAATAGTCGTAAATAATCATAATGGCGATAAATTCACCTCGGAAAAAATGGATGAAAAGCGGCGCGGGAATAAAATATAAATAAAAATGCAATTTATTGCGCGATATTTTTTTCGATATTTTGGATATTTGAATGCGTCAATAAATATAATGTTTGTAATAAAAAAAACGCCATCATACAGTGTGTTCAAAGGTAATTTTGGAATATTGCAGCTGAAAATTACCTTTCAGCTGCTTTCCGGCAAATCGAAATGATATGTTGATCCCTCGAATCGATACGCGAGTGAGTGGTTTATCATCTACAAACACTTTCGAGCATTTCATCCGGCGCCTTGTAATTTCCAGCGCAGCTCATAACCGATATATCAGACGTGCATCGACTCGACGTCGCGATAAACCCTCTTAAAACGCGCGTTTTCCACCGCCGTAGCTTTCCACGTCAATCCGCAAGCAACGCGCGAGCATTTATCGACATAAAACATATTTAATTTATAGCCGCGTCGATAAAATTGTACCGCGACCCCCGACCTGCAACCGCACAGATATAGCCCGATAGTTGCCAGTCGAAGAGAGTGTTGCAGAAAATATGTTAAAGTAATAGGGTTGCGCCAAGCAGGAAGCGATATTGGCGCGCGCGGGTGTAATGGCTGAAATTGGTAAAAGGCGTTCGGTCGTCATATCCGCCGACACCGCCACCCAGCCCCTGTTATGTTACCGTCGTCGGTCGTGAGTAACGCGCGCCGCCGATAAGAGCTGCATTGCGGCGGAGGTGGTGCGCACATAACCGATGGTTTTCATCCCCTAGAGTGCACCAGAACATTCACTCGCGCTACGACCAGAACCGGCTGAACGCGCTGCGCGGCGCGGCAGGTTTTTCCCGTGCTGTATGCTTTTTAACCTCCCGATGGGCGAAAGAACTCGAGCACTCACACACGGCGTATGGTATGGTGGTGGAAAAAGTATAAATACACGAAAAAGATGGCCGGAGAGGCGCAAAAACCTTCCACACGATGCGAAAAAGAAAAAAAAAACGCTGAAATAACGCAATATTTCACGCCGCCTACACACACGCGAATTTTTCAGCTTTTCACTGTTTGAACGCGCTCCGGAAAACATACAATTTTAATCGCAGTTGAAGGCTCGCTGAATTTTTACCCGATGTGCGTGCGAGCGTGTCTGTTTGCCCGGAGAAACAGCGGAATATATTCGAAATATGCATTTGCATTCTGCACGCAAAACGCAACGAAATTACTCTCAAAGAATGGAAAAAATTATACGCTGACCCATATATCGACGTAAAATAGAAAAACACGAATTGTTTGCTTTGCTGTTTAAATTATCCACGGTTTTATATTGTGAAACTGACAATATTCAATATTCAAAATTGTGTGGATTTTCGACGGCGGTTTAAAAAACACGCATCGTGCAAATAATGCCCGGAAGCCGATTGCGGTATGCACGACGCAATGAAAAAATTAATTTAATATTCATCCGGCGGCTTAATTCGTTCGCCGTTCAAGTGATATCGCAGCACGCACGCACGTTTCACATGTTCGATGTACTCGCAATCGGTACGCGCCCCATTGCGGTGTTTGGAATTTCGAAATTTGGAGATGAAAAAATTCATGCGGTCGGCAAAAAATAATACACGGACTAATTTCGGCTCGTCTCACGAAGCGGTATTTAATAACGAATCTCATATCGACATCGACATTGACATGATCAAAAAAATACAATTACCCACCATCATTGGTAATATACATACAGGGTGATAAAAATAAAATTTCCACATAAAATTTCCATCATAATTATTTTTATAGTTTTTATGATCAGTTTAATATGTTTTTACATAAAAGCATGAAAGGGTAATTCATTTCAAAGCCTAAAAGACCAAAATGTTACCCAAAACATTTGCGGTTACGTTTGCAGCGTATTGTATATTAATCGCCAAACAATATTCAAATGAATTGAATGTTATTGTTATCATTCAGCGATCAAAACCCGAAACTAGCGCCTAGTGCCGCTATTAGGGTAGTTGTAAAGTCCTTGAGTTTTCCGTATGTTGGCGAACAACAATATAAGGTAATGGCTAGTCGGGACGCAAACACAAGCGGACAATGAGCCGTGCCTTTTTGCTCTAGCGAGGGCGGAAGAGAAGGGTCGGCAGCGGTGGTCCTGAGGTCCTTTCTCATGACGCCAACTACGAGACGGTTTTACTTTCGGCTAAACATCCAAACATACACATCGATATATATTAGCCTCACACACACGACACGCTTCTAAGCGCTCCTAAGTAGTCCTTCCAGCCGCTGAGCTAATATTGTTCAGGATACAGGAAAATAAAGGTTCTAACACAACTAATACAAGTAGATACTAATAAAACAAGAAGTATACGCTCACAAAGTGAAAATAAACGTTTGTGATGTATACATGACACATATATTACATTTATTTATTTTTTCCACCGTGAGATGGCGTAACTTGTGTTATTTTTAGTTCTATGTATAATATTATACGCAATCTTCATGATTCTCTAGATTCTAGATTCCCTCATGCACTTGACATTCTCTGGTCCTCTTGAATTTCTTGAATTTTCGGCTGGAGACGTGACGTATTTAAATTTCGATGTAACGTGCGATTTGCGCTCACGAACGAGTAGAAACATTGTTGTTTTGTCTCGCTGTGTATATGTATGTGTGTACTTGGAACACTTTGTATGCAAAACCGAGCGCGGAGACAATTTGTTGTCGTAAATATCAACCTAAAGTTTACGTGCCGGTGCCTTTTGCGCCCCTGGATCCTTCATACTCCTCCTGATGCTGCTGCTGCACCGGCTTCTGCTGCCCGATGTTCCATCCCAATCACATTCCGTTTTTATTTTTATTTTGCGCTGCACTCGTTGTTTCTTTTGCGGGCGTTCGTCCTTTTTATTCATTTAAACGTGAAACTCGTGCCACTCGTGCGCGCGTCTCGTTTGTCGGCTCGTCATTGAAAGTTATTTACGTATTCCTAGCGCGGCAGCAGCACGCAGGACATGATGTAGATGAAAATTTGTCTTTCGTCCTTGGCAGGAATAAAAAATACATCGCAGTGTACGGAAACGTAATGAACGCAATAGTAATGAAAGCTGTGTTCGTCCGCGCACGACCAAATTCGATTCGATTGTGTGCGATCGGTTAGTTAAGTGAAATGTTATTCGGAATTTGGAAATTTCGTACAAGTCGGGGGAGAATAAACGATGGACTGTGCACATCTGTGCTTTTGCTTGCATTGTGCCAGTCGTCGCGATTCGTTCCAATTCGTTCGAAAATTTAATATAAAGCCGGAGCGCGGAGAATACTGGCAAGTCACTTTGCACGTGCCATTCACTTCGGACGCGAACCAGACGAGCGAAAACGCTAAATTTAATTAGTAGATAATTGACTTTTAATTATCTGAAAGCTTTTATCCGTGCTACGTCTTCAATGCACGTCTGTTTTCAATTCCTATTTGAATTCAACTTAAAGCAGACCAGGTTCGGACTGCTAATCTATTATAAAAATGTAATCGTTCTCAACTAGGCCAATGTTTTATTCTCCGAGTAGAAAACTGTCAATTTAGATTAACTATTTTATTATTTACTAGCTCCACTACATAATCCTCGTAGATTTTAATAAAAAGGAGCTTAAATAATTATATTCTTCTTGGTTTTATTTTTTCCGACTTAATCAATAAAATTCTCATTTAAAACTCTAATAATGCGACATCTCACGGTGAATTATATAACTAAAACTATGATAAAATACCATATTAACTTTTACCTCTAATTTAACACCCTGTATGTTATTTTTTGTAACAAAAAGTAGTCTATTTCTTTTCCATAGTCAAAAATATCTTAATACCAAATTTTATCAAAATTGTTGAAATGGATTTTGCGTTAATGCGTAACAAACATACTCTATTTATAATATTACTAGCCTAGATGCCTATAAAATATGATACCACCCTCAATCAAAATAAATTATATTCTGGACAGTGAAGACTTAATTTCTAATTGCGTTAAGTAATTGCTGCTCAATTTGGTCCTTCTTCTTGCTTTCAGTGCCGCCAGAGAAGCCGGTTATTTACGATGGGCGGCGGCGAGAGGCGACGACCTCCGTGGAGCTCTCCTACAACGAGGGGTCCGACGTCAGCTTAATCTGTCAGGTCCACGGCGGTGAGTATTCCATTCTTCCTGACATCTATCTACTACGGCTCGTTGGCGATCGCGTCGCCATACAGTTACATCTACATTCCATTCTCTACATTTTTATCTCGGTTTAATCTCAAAAGTACTCCGTGATGGGAAACTAACAATTCCATCTATAAATGGATTCGTGAAAGATGCGCTGAAACAGTGAAGCGATAAAAATTGATTTCGTGAATGCGCAGCTTTTTCGGGCCCGTAAGTGTTATTTTTGTTTATATTATGATGGGATAGTCATTTTGGTTTGGTCGATTTTGCAAGTACCCAATCGAAGCGGAATGTTCTTCGCTTTGATTCGCCGTCTGCAAGATACAAACACATTTTATGAATAATTCACGAACGTTTGCGGCGGATTTCGAAGCGGTTGCGCCGTCCCGCAATCGCATTCGGCGTTCGGTGTTCGTCGTTCGTCGTTTGATTATTTTATTAGTCGAAAATGGCGTTCGATACGCGCCGCCGCGGGTGACAACGACATGATTAGGCAAACGCGCTTAAAACTTTTTTCGCGCAGCGCTCATAAATATTTCAGGCGTGCGAATGTTTCTAAGAGATTTACGCTTTTTTGCCAATAATGCGATTTGCACATGTAAATCAAACTCAGACAACAAACAGAATAAATTTTTTTTGAAGGAGGAGATTTATATTTGTGAGTTGTAAAAATTTAATCGATACTAAAAGCTTTGGGAGAGTGGAACGTTAATATCTCGCGAATTTTTATCCGCGTCGTGCCAAACGGAGCTTATTGTCTGAGCTTATTGTCGCTACAAACCGCACTAATGGTAAATTTCAATTTAGCACCCGCTGGAAGCTTTTGGGCGCTAATAGTGCGCTCGCGTTGGCTGCTGGCCGGCGTTACTCTTAATAATAGCTGCAGTTCGGAGCATCTCTGAGGCGCAGCTCGCGATGGGTGCGATTTACGAACGCGGAACCCACGAAATGAAATTTAGTTTATGAGCGTCGTACATCAGGCGCGAATTTCGAGAAATTACTTTAGTCGCTCTTGTAATTGTCGTAAATCAGTAATTAGTTTTTGGAGAAATAAATATTTGGTCAAGAGTTAGTATATCATCACCTTTAAGTAATTATTATCAATAGAAACAGCCGATTTCAAAAAATCTTATTTTGCTGACATTTTTTTTGATGTTTTACAATTTTTTCTACTTCCACTTTTAAAACGCCATTTTTTCACGGTTTTAAGACATGAAAAATGGCTTTTAGTCACGGTCGGCCAAAACCGTGATTAAAATACTTTAGTCACAAGTTTTAGTCACGGGGTGGAGCTTAGGCTATGCAACGTCATTCGAACGTAGCTAAACGTTATTAAAATGCCGTTTAGCGCACTTGTTACTTAATATACTATTTAATACTCTCTTTATTTACTAATATTCTGCTGATATTTAATTTTTGCGGTTATTTTTAGTACCAATTAATTTTTTTGGCTATTATAAACCGAAAATAAACATTTTTGAGCATTGATGATGTCGTGTTGAAACGTAATTCGTGTAATGCAATTTGAATTTTATTCCGAAATTTCCAGGACGACCGTCACCGAGACTGATATGGTTCTGGGAGAATACGATCATCGACGACTCGTTCGAGACGCGCCCCGACGGGATGGTCGTCAACGCGATGACATTCCCGAACGTGGGCCGCCAACATCTCAAATCAAGACTGATCTGCCAGGCGACCAACAGCGCGCTGGCGCCGCCGCAATCCAAGCTAGTCGTCCTAGATATTAATTGTAAGTGACATCGTCGCAACGTGCACATCGAGACTAATCAAGCCCATAAATCCTCACCTCCCCAGTAACCTAGAATATTTAACGTTATGTCATGTCTTCCATCGACAATTCGCCACGTTGAACCTCCGGCGCGTCATGCCGCCAAACAGTTAAATTATACACACTTTAAAACGTTGCATTATCCTTGGATTACAGTCATCATTCCGCTCCGCAGCGGAATGTTTTGATATTATTTGATGGGATTATTACCGATTTGGTGATTTTATGAGTCGTCGCACGGCACAATTTCGAAATTGAATGCAAAATTGGAACGTAAATTGCGCGGCAACGTTGTAACTGGAAACGCTTGATCCTTGTGAATTTAACGAACCAAATAACCCGCGTCGGGACAAAGCCGACGACGACTTCGACGCTGCTCGGGGATGAACGCCGAAGGAGGCGAAGCGCCAACCGCGCACCGCAAATACTGAAAGGAAACAGAATACGCCGGGGAAATTATATAAACGCTTATAAGTATCATTTGCAATTTATATTGTTAATTGGGAATTCTAAATTTAATTACACGCCAAATCCAAATTGCACCCGAACGGGAAATGCAGCTGGAATTAAAATTATTAATACGGGTTTTCAACTTATACAACGGAATAATTAAAAGTTGAAAAATAAATACAAATATTACGAAATCTGCAGTGAAATGAGATAAAATCTACATTTTAATGCCTAGGCAGTAAAATAATAAAGATTTACTGCCAAAATTTTATGTTTTATGCAGAAAATAAAAATATAACGCGATTATCTACACATTTATATCAAATATAAAATTTTTATTAAAATCTTGAAATTGGTAGGTATCAAATCAGTATCAAGTTGTTTTGAATTGCATCGCGTGTCGCTTCCTTGCATGTTGCGAATTCCACGCCGCCATATTTCATAATAACGACTCCTTTTGCGTTTTCCGCACGCCGAGGCAAAAAGGAAGATACCTGCGGCGCGTTAATAATAACCCTTTGATGGATCGCGCTGTCGCTAATTAATCAGACGTTTATTTGTTTCTGCCGACAATGCGCGAACGCACGCGCGCCATGTCGTGCTACCCAAAGAATATCAACCGCTACCCGCTGGGGCTTCACATGTCGGCACGACAGAAAATTTATTTTCCATTTATTCAGCTATCACCCGCATCGAACACACACTGATTTGAATAATAACAGGTTTTTGATGCCATGTGAATTATTACATCTATGAACACACTGTATATGTGAGAATTTTGCGATTGCCGGAGATAACTCGGGTAAAAATTGAAAAGTGTGTGCGAATCAATTATCGGACTCGTTTTTTGCCATTGCCATTCTTGGAATTGCTGGAAACGTTGAAAATGGTGATGCAAAACTTTGTTCACTTTCCGGGAAAAGGTATCGCGCGAATTTTTCTATATCCACACTTGTTATCTCGAAACATTTCCCCGGGATCATTTTCTTATCTTTTATCTATTTCTTCCGGGATTGCGAAAGGGAGCATCTTCCACGCTGGCAGGACTCGTTTGTATAGGAAGATATACGTTCGATTCCGTTCGGCGCCGTTTCTTCCGTTCCATGCCGGGCGTATAAAAGTAATATTTCTAAACGAAACGCGCACGTACACTCACCTTTCGAAGCTGCGGAAGGAATTGAAGAATCGAAACAGAAAAAAAACATAAATAAAATACAAGGCGCGGAATTGGGAAAATTCACCAGTGTGTGAATCATGCTTTATCCTTGACCATTTTAATACAATCTATCAAATATTGATGGATCTGGATAATACACATAAATATTGTTGATGAAAGCTAGCTGATATTAATAGAGATCAGCAGCTGAATTTGTGAGCAAACAGTCCTTTATTAAATCGTTTATTAAGCGTAATTCGGCCGTGGGGCTCGAAACGGCGAGGAAAGTACCATGACCACTCGAAGCGCAGACGATGATGATGATGATGATTCCAGCTCTCGAACTGCTATGGAACGTAGCAGGCGCAATGTTTGCTCTGGGCAAACACAGTTACATTTTAAACTCTAGACCGGATAATATTGCGATTATCCAGCTATCCTTTCCACCTACTCTTCTACTCTTCATCAGAGGTTTTACTTTTTAGACTTTCGGGCAAAATTTAACAGATCAGATTTCAAAGCGGTCAATCCAAGATACATCAGGGATCAAATCGAGCAAGTCTGTGTGGCTTCTGTGTTTTACTTCAGCTCTGGCTGCTGCTTTTGCGGTCCGACGGGTCCCCTATGTTGGTGCTTGCTTGGGATTGTGATTGCAGCTGGGTTGAATTGTCCCCCGCGTTCTATTATCTCCGGAAGCTTCGAAGCGTCATTTGCGATAATAGCCGCGCGACCTGGGAGCCCGCAACCGGCGCACAGTCCGTCAAACTCCGGCGCCGCCGCCGGAAACTGATTGAAACACTAATCTCGCAAGGCGGGACGATAAAATAGATCCGGGCGATTAAGTACGTCCGGCTTTGATTCCGAATTGTCGAGGCGTTGGCCAACTTGTGATCACAACACGTTTGGACAATTACGACGAATCTACTCTACAAGTATTAATACTTTGGGAAACCAATTAATTAGCAACAAGCTGCCGCTTTTGTTTTCTATGAATAATATTATCTCAAGTATTTTTCGTATTCTCTGTTTTGTACAATTGTATTCTATATTTTATTCAAAAGGATAACAACTTTTCTTGTGATTCAGTTTCCATGTCAAGTTGATTTATAGCCACGCAAACATTTACCGCATTATTCGATGAAAAGTATTCTCATTTGAGAGATTTCATCACTTCCGAAATTGAGACTCTTAATTCGCTTGCACTTCACGATGAGCCTCCTCTTGGCGGAGGCTATACCACGATCGTTATATATGAAATTCGTCCCCGTCATAACGAAAATCATAAATAACTCAAGAGGCTCATCGCCTTCAAGAAAGCGAGCTCGCCGCGAATATAATATCTCATAATATCCCATGATATCCGATGATGTGCCGCGATACTCTCGAGTTATAAAGCATATTTTCCCTATAATTGAATTATATATTCGGGAGCGCACCTCCCATCATATCTGCCAGGCATCCGTGCATCCGGGAGTCTATTGCGTTCCGCATGCGTTTACCCCTCGACATCTCATCACGGCACGTCATTGTGCGGCCGAAAACCGTGACTTGGAGTGAGGATTCTCGCCCGCCCGGCCCTTCTTTCAATTTCTTATTTCTCATTTTTATTTTATATTTTATATCTTGATGCTGTATATTGAAAATTCCTATGGTAATGTCACTTTGGTGCAGGGAGCTCCTTGAAACCGGTAAAATTGTTGCGGAAGACATGGCAACCGTGTATTATGATGATGTAATATAATATTATCGTGTTTATTGCAGTAAAACCGCAAACAGTAAATATATTGACGAAGGAGAAGCATGTTTCGACTGAAAAACGCTACGATATCGAGTGCAGGACGACAGGATCAAGACCTCAAGCCGTCATCACGTGGTGGAAGGGTAGTCGACCAGTGAAACGACTTGCAAAGAACGTAAGTAACGCCATCTATGTATTTTTTGTGTTATATTTAAAAAAATATTTTTTTGTTTAAAGTTTAAAGTTATTTTACGGGTTAGAAGCGCGAAAAGTGCCATTTTAATAATGGACGACTTAGGCCGTAACTAAAGTACTTTATCACATTACTAGACGTTGTTAAAGTGTCGTTTAGCGCATTTGATACTTAAGTATCAAAAAGACGATAGGAGTAAATAAAAATGGATGTTTTGTTTTTCAATAGTGTTAATTCTTTTGCACTAGGTTGTCGAAACCATTAGCAACAAAAAGCGTCTAATGAATTCGCCGCTGCAGCGCCTCGAATTTTCAATTAGCAAAAAGCAATTAGCAAGCATGCGCGCACGTCATCTCTCCATCGTTTGATTTCCGAGGCGAAAATTGCAAAAATTTGCTTTCTGATAACCCTCGCGTCAATTACACGACGTTACGACCGGACACATCAATACCGTGTGTTTCGCTAACACTAACCGGAAATACCAACTACCCCGATGATGAGATTTGGTGTGTTTTTATTGAAATACTCTGTAGATGAAGGAGTAAAAAACTTCGACCTTTGCTGGTCTCGCCCGTGATCGATTTTGACGCGTTCCATTTACTCCAATAACCTTTTCATGTTCATTCGTCACTTTTATTCGCATATACTCGCGCGCGCGACACGAAAAAAAGCACGAAAATAGAAAAAAATATATACGCGACCATGATGTCAGCACGACGAGAGTCTATGCCTCGAACGATACATTGTTTCTCGCCGCCATTGATGCCATTTCGCTGCCAGCGCTCAGGTTTTATAGCGCGGACTGTATCCTCGAGAGTCTCGCTGCCATGCTGATGGTTCAATTCACTTTTTTTCCGGACATGAAATCTTGTCATTTCTGCTGTACGCGCGCAATATTTGCAATATATTTGCGCAAATTGAAGGATTTTATGCGCCTTCCGTGCGATACCTGAGACGCAACCAGAACATCGGCGTTGAGAACATAAAGATTTCTTCCTGCTTTTCACGCGGCGCTTCCGTTTTTATTCGTTTCGCTTTTTGGTTTCGCTGCGCAGGCAATCGACGGCGGGTTTTTTTTCCAGCGCGCTAATTTAATACCGACGCGAGTAAGACGTATTTATTTTTTGCCAATCGTCGAGCGCAATTTATCGGCGGATTTTTACAAGCTCGGCTAGTGGCTGGTCTAGTGCTTGTGCAGTTCGAACGGAACAGAACGAAAAGAGGCAAGTTATTTATTGGGAATTATCGAGGCGATTTCGGCGCGCGCGGCAGGCGATTTTCGGGCTCGGGCGAGAAAAAAGAACGCGCACAGATTGCGGTACGTGACGTGTTTTATTAATACGCCGAAGACGAGTTCAATGGGCTTTGCAAACGATCGGAAAAAATGAGAAAACGACCGCCGCAATCGTGCCGATAAAGAGTTAACGTAAATTTTAGCATGTGAGAAAATTTTAATAGCCCGTGGAGAATTTTTATATTTATTGCTGTCTGCTTTGGAAATTTTCAAAGCCATACAAATCAGCTGTACATAAATAGCGAAAAAAATGCATTACACCAACGAAATTTTCAGAAATATTTTATTTTATCACGCATAAAATTTTTTTGAAGTTTCTACTTTATCTGTGCAGTTTTGGTTCGACAAGGCCGTTAAAATACACATTTAGCTATCGCTCACGTCGCAATCGTTCCACTATCGCAAACTTTTCCGGCACTCGAAGCTCTGCACCGGTCGTCGGTCCCGCTGATGTTGTTAAGGGAAACGAAAACTTTCGAATGCTTTAGAAAACTAGCTGAATATTTTCGCGAGTCGTGCATAACCGCGCCGACATCTTCTCGGCGACATCTTCGCGTGCTTGATGTGCGCAATAAAGCCGGTAAAACTCACGCGCGCGACTTCGCCAACGTTCTTTAATGTGCCACAAAAGAGTACTAAAAAGCGCCCGTTGTAATATTAAAGCACGTACATGATGATTGTTGCGGTTTCACTTCCGCATTATAAATTTAATGAAAAGTTATGGCCGCGGCGAGCGAAGACGGTGAAAAAGTTTAGCGCAGACCAATATGCGGAGCGAAGGGTCGAAAGTGTAACTGTAACGGTCACCTGGAGAATTCTGAATTATTTCTGCTAGTTTTAGACTTTGTAAAGCGATAAATTAATCATCAGCGAGGGTGTGATAGTCTTTGGTGTGTTTTTTTGGTTTAAATCGTAGATTTAAGCATAGAAATCAATGTTTTAGTTTGAAAAAACGTGAAATTCTAATAATTTTTTACAATTCATCTCAAATGCGCCATCTGTGATTGAATTGCTCAATACAACTACTATTAAATCCCTATATTAACTTTTATTTCTTATTTAACATAAGTTGAATCCAAATTTGAAATATTTTAATATTTTTTCTTTTATTTGGGTTAAAGATAAATCCACAAAATCATAGATCATCAAAATCGGTTCAGCCGTTCTTAAGTTATGAGACCTGTAACTAACAATATTTATTTTTTATACGTATACTGATTATAGATTGTGTATTTTTGTCGATTTTTCAAAGTCATGAAGTGTTAAAACTTAGTGAAGTTCCAACTGTCAGTTTCTGTTGCAGTATGGCGGCGACCAGAACAACCAGACGCTGAGCATCCTCACGCTGGAGCCGATGATCGACGACGACGGCAAGTACTTGACCTGTCGCGCCGAGAATCCTTCCATTGTCGACAGCGCCCTTGAGGACAAGTGGCGACTCAATGTTCACTGTAAGTTAAAAATATATTAATATTTAAATACTCTTTTAAAATTGTATTTGACGTGAGTAAAATTTAGGTTAAGTATACAGTTTGCCAGATGCGACATGTGAATATAGGTTATGTTGAGCCGAAAAGTTTCGGTGTTGAATTTTCGTCAGTCGCAATCCGTTTTTGAGCTGTTTCTGAGTTGTGGGCGAAAGCTAATTAAAAACTTTACGAACTGGAAGGATGCGCAGAAAAGTCCGAGCGCCGGGTAAATATTAGCCCCACTTTAAAATGTAAACTCAAACGTTGATATCCGCTAATGAACGTCCTGGACGTCCTCGGGCTCTTCAACTTCCAGCTACTTAACACTCTCCACGTCGGCAAATCGTTACGTTTTAATGTGAATGTTAATGACAATAAGCACATTATCTCCGGTGAGATAACAAAAAATTCAGTCAATAATTTCCATTTTTTTGTGAAATATTATTTTATCTTGTTTGTGCTGTATATTTTTTACGCCCGGAATTATATTGTTGTTGTTACCAAAAAATCATTTGTACCGAATTTTTGCAGGCCGGAAAAACATGTACACATAAAATGGTTGTAGGTTGGATGTTGGATGTTGAATGTGGAGAGTTTTGAAAACCACGCGAATGTTGTACGATGTTACGCGAGCGGGTTGCAGTGCGGTGGGGTGAGGCAACCCAACATACCGCCGCCGCGCGCGGGTTTGCCTAGCAGTGTGGGTTGCCTGCCTGCGAGCGAGCGACCCACTTCCGGAGCCGCTTCGAAATTGCGCTTCATTAAATTCAACAACGCTCGTAATTAGATGATTCTTGCAAACGTTTATTTAATTACAACGAAACGCAACGCAACCAGCCAAAGCGAGCGAGCGAGCGAGCGGCCAACAACATTTTTTTTTGTACGCGTATTCTTTTCCGGTGCTAGGTTTATTTCGAGCAGTTTTTGTGGATTTTAATTTTAATATTTTCGTATAATATTTTAGTGCACACGATAACATGATGTATGCGCAGGTTTAAAAGCGAATTTTTGAACAATTCGCAATTTTAACAAAAGCCGGCAATCAATATTAATAATTTTAAATTAAAATAATAAACGCTCGCAATTTTAATATTGAAACATTCGAATGATAATTTCGAAAATCAACGTTCGTGAAATTAATGTTTTCACAATATGTGCACCTGGTGAACAAGGATGTATGTATGTCCTTGCATATTTTACTATTTTCGCGCATATTTTATTGCGCAGCTAATGTATTTACGCATAAATAAAACTCCCTCTCTCGGTGCGGAAGCATTGTTTTCGTTTGTGAATAATGCAATCAATTATTTAAATTCAGCGCTCGCTGATCAGACGCGCGTGCGCCCGAATGCATTAAGGGCTCATCCCGCAAATATTTGCATTCTTTTTGGATTGGCAAAACATAATTGTGTTTGTTAATGTTTCAGATCGGCCGGTAGTTTCGCTCAAAATCGGCTCGACCCTCAACGCCGGCGACATCAAAGAGGGCGACGACGTCTACTTCGACTGCAAGATACGCTCGAATCCAAAGGCTTACAAACTCCTCTGGTACCACAACGTAAGTGTCAGCGCTACCGGCCGACAGATGGCGCGCGTTATCGCACCATCTGTGCCGGCGGAAGCGATCCTGCGATCAGAAATAAATTGTGTTTTTGCTCTCTCCCTAATGCAGGGTCACGAAATCCACCACAATGTCTCGGCCGGCGTGATCCTCAGCGATCAGAGCCTCGTCCTGCAGAGCGTGACGCGCGCCACCGCCGGCAATTACACCTGCAAGGCGGCCAACACGGAGGGACGCGGCAGCAGCGAGCCTGTCAGCCTTATCGTGCGATGTAAGTCCCGCAGACTTTCCTGCCGTTTTTCTTATCTGATTCTAGACTCGTAACTTCTGACTTTCAACTTTTCTAACCTCACACTTACACATACATAAAGTTGCGTAATCCTAACCTAACATGTGCGCTGCATTGGGTTCGTTAGGGCTTAAGGTGATTGTGTTTGTTTGTGCGCGCGTTCGGAAAAGTTTCTGCAAGTTTGCCTGCTTTCACACCTCCGCAGGTGGGAAATCTATAATGGTTTGACGCGTGTGCGCCAACTTTTAACAATTAATAACATGCGATGCGCGAGAATTTTTCAACAACACTATTAGCAACGTTTAGTAAACAATAAACACAATAAAAACGCCATCTCTGGACGTTTTTAGAAATTAGTTGTGTTAGTTTGTGGATAGGTGTCAGTTTTTCACTGTTTACACGGCGGTAATTTGGGTTGCAGCATGTTTTATTAAATACATAACTTGTTGCTAAGATACGGCTACTTTCTGCTGGGTTTTTTCACATGAACGACGGCAGTATATCACATGATGGGACAATGAGTGGCGGGAGTTCACTCTAATTGAATTTCGCCCGACATGCCGACATATTCTAGTGCCTTTGTGTCGCTCGCGAGCTTTGTCCGCCGGTCCCGGTCCGCGTAATGTCATTTCATAAATGGAACCACCCTCGTCGAAGCAGCGCATCGAGTTTTTCCGCAGTTGGGGCGTTTTTTTTTCATGCAGCTTCATATTATCATTGTCATGCGAGCGCCAAATTCAGCGTAACACGTATGAGTGCAGTCGGGGCTTAATTATGCTCGTTTCAGAGTATTCCTGTGAATCTTGCAGAGAAGAAAAGAGCGATGATGCTTTTGTGGTTGCGTTATTCAATTCGTTACGGTGTGTATTTTAAATCATCAAAACAAATTTTTTTCGTCGTGTTTGATGTGTTTCGAGTTAAAGTTGCGAGCTGCGGGGGCTGATTCATTATAGCGTTTTTATAAATGATAATTTTATTTACTCGTAAAATTGTTTGATGGTGATGACGCCGCGCAGACAATTATACTTTTATATTTTCGGGGGGCGAGTTTGTGGCGTTGGTGGGGTTTGTTCCATTAACCTCGGTTTAATTAAGTTTGGTGAGCCGCGCTGCGTTTTTCCTGTTTCACTCGACGACCCTCGACCGTACGTCTTTTTCGCTTATTGCCGAATATTTCGCATTGCGTTAATGACAGTCCAACAGTGGCACCCTCCGCGAATTGCGGCTGATGGACAGAATCAAAGTGAAAATGAAAACGAAAATGAAAATCTGAATTTGTAATTTGTAATTAAATCAACTCCTCGAATTTTATCACACGAATAGCGAGCATTTTCGAATTAAAAACTTTATCACACGAGATAGGATGAGTATCGTCTAGGGAATTTTCCGGGGCGTGCTTGGTGTTTGGTTAATATTCATTGAGAACATTGGGAGAACAAGGTTCCGGGGTAAAACTCAAGTCGTGCATTTGGTGGACAAATAAATTTGCTCATACCGTCGGTACCTTCCATGTGAAAGCACTAATTCTTGCCGTTAATTGGGGGAAAATTTGCAATTTCTGGTTTTCGTCGGGATGACCAACCAGGGACTACCGTTTCTTGTTTACCGACCTCGTTTGTGTTTATTTACACGTCCTGCGCGTACCTCACCCATCTCAACTTGTATTTAGTTACTCTATTACATAATGTCTAATTTTAGCCAATTAACTATTTTAATATTTTCAACTACATTATAAACTAGCTTTTGCCCATAATTTCGGCCCGAATGTTAGTAAAAATTTAATTAATTGTGGGTTGCATCACTGAGAATCGTAATTTTATTTTTTAATCGTGAGAGATGGTAATAATGCTTTATACCGCCATCTGTGATTGAATTATTCAACTATAACTACGATTGAATCACCATACCAACTTTCATCCTTTATTAAACACTTTTAGAGTTACAATTTTTGATATTTTAATAGTTATTATTCTATTCCGGGCCATGACAAATTCAAAACTTCATAAATCAACAAAAGCTGTCCATACGTTCTTGAGTTATAAACGTTATAACTAACAAAACTATTTTTAAACGTATTTATTTTTAACATATTGATTCTCTGCTGTGCTGAGTTAGTTAGTTGGTAATATAAATCAATCCTGGTGGCTGGCAGGCATTTGAGGTGTTTGCTCGCTCGCATGACATCGACGTGAGATTTCGCCGGCGCTCATATTCAAATCCAAATCCTCGCCGCCGCCGACGCGCAAACCGAATCATCGAATCGGCGAAACGTGTGCACGCCGGCGTGGCAGTTGCAGCTCATCCCGCCCGCATGTTTCGGCGGCTGCTAAGCGGCGCCAACTCGACCAAATCAAACACCCTCATGGTTTATTTACATATTAAACATAGGGATGCGTCGCTGCAGGAGATGGGCGGTCGGACGCACGAAGCGCCGCGCCGTGTGTTGTCTAAACAATTCCGTTCTGGCGGTTTACGTAGAAACACACCGAGACTGAGGTAACACCAACAATGCGTGTAACATGCGTATTGTTTAACCAGCCGGAGATGTGAATACAGCCGAATTGTCAGACGTGTGCCAACAATCGTCTGCAAGAAATGTTTACAGACGATTTTATTCTTAAACACATCAAAATTATATTTTCTACTTCCACCTCTAAAGCGGCAGTTTTTCCACGGTTTTTAGACACAAAAAGTGGTACTTTATATACGAGCGAAAGTAATATTCATTATCTACGGGCATTATTTACGGGACGGAGCTTGCGCCTGCGCATTGGCTTACTGAGCAGCACAAAACCATATGAAATGAGATTTAATTTAATTAGGAAATGATTTGTAAAGAGTTACATTGTTGAATATTACGAGTACAGCATGAAGCTTATAAAGAAGATTAAAATGCATGAAAAGTTGTTTCGATAGACTTCTGTGAATCTGGACATCTATAAAGTGAATGTAATCGTTCTGCCATCAACAGACATTCGCATTTCATGAATTTTCTATACATTTTTCTCATATCTGCATTTATTCAAACTTGACAAAGAACCTGATTTGAATGCAGAAGATGTACATGTTGTGAGATAATTTAAAATCAATTTTCTGCAACATCTGAGAACTTCTCTGGCTGATCCTCAATTTAATAATAATTGTGTCGTCTAGTATAACTACTTGTCGGCTGAAAGTAGCCGAGTGGAGTGATTATTTCTTGAAAATTAATTAAAATTTATTAATTAAGTTTGCGGCAAAGTTTCAAAGGTAACTTCCAGCGGGTGAAATTCATTCATTCCGGTTTTGATAATGAAGGTTCTGACGTCGGAGGCGTCGAGTGTAACGCACGAGAACGAGGCCAACGAAGCTTCAAGCTTTGACGCGCTTTTCGAAAACCGTGTGCAAAAATCCCCGGTGTTAACGTTTCCTACAGAGAAAAATTTTATTTTAAATTTATTTTTCATTTTACTACAAGTAGTAACCAGTGAACGACTGTTAAACTAAATGTTTTTGAAACGAAAGTGTTCGAACTGTTGGCATACTCGTAGCTTTGCTTCTTGTGGTTTGTTCTGTAAGATCCCACCAGTAGCATGGATTGTCTACATCCGGCTGAGTTTAGTACGAGGCTGAGATCCGTTGCTGTGGAAAACGAATAAGGAACCAGGAAGCTCTCGCCAAGAGTGCGGAAAGTGCGGCATTAAGATGATCTCGAGCAACAAACCGCAAGATGGCATCTCTCAAGACTAGCCTACAACACTCAACCGCCACTCATCCGCGCTCGCAACTCAGTCATCTCCATTCTTCACTAATACACTCGGGAAGTAAATACGGAGTTTGCCGCGTGTACTTTGCGTCTAGGCGAGCATGAAGGCTTCGCGTATTACGGTGCGAGGGAAAACAACATTTTCTTGGTTTGCTTATTTCGTTACACACTTATTTCGAGGCTCGGCGAGACGTTTCGTTTTCGGCGAGATTCCGGCGTGCGGTTTGCGTCGTAATTACTTCGTCGGTCTGGTGCTAAACGGCTTGAGGAATAACTTGTTATGGAAGCATCCCTTGCCCTCCGGGGTGTTTTCAGTGAGTGAGAATTTAGTTTAAACCGTAACATAATTTAAAAGAAAAAAAAACGAAAAATTAATTTTCGTTCATATTGTGAGCATGTTTGACTTGCGGTACAAGCACCGAACATAGAGGATAATATAATATATTATACTTTTATGGGATATAATATAATATTATTTTTGCATTTTTACCCTTTGCTATGGCTTCATTAAAAGGCAATATCAGAGATTTTATGTGCGCACTCATACGAAAGAAGCCGCTTTGAAACGCTGGATTTTTTTCCAAAACATTTTCCCTTTTGTGGGAGCACTGTGAGAGCGCAACGAGCGCTTGATAGATGGGCTTGTAATTATTTCCGGACCGTAGGTATATCAGCCGCCAATGGCGCGCGCACAATATGCACAATGGCGGCACGGGAACTACCCCAGTATGGGGCGCGCAGCAGCCGATCATATGTCAAGTCGCGCTCGTGAAAAGAAGCCACCCATCGAGCGCATCAAGCCAATTCCCACAATTCGCGTCGAGCGCCGAAATGTCGCTCATCACGACACAATGCCAACGTCGACGACTTGGCATCGTGTCCTCATGCGAATACTCGGATGAATAGCAGGCAACCCACCAGCCACCGCATGAAGCTCTTGCGATGCACACGAAGTTGTTGAATGAAAATAATACCGCCGGGGAAAACAGCGCGCGCGGGTCAATTGCTGCAGCAACCTGTGTGACAACAAAGCGCAATTTTTTTTTCATTCCCGAAGTAAAAAAGAGGCACATGCGAGCGAAATGCCGGAGCGAAATTATGAAGAGCGGAAAAAGTCCCACAGTGTCGCGTCGCATGGGGGGCTCGAGAGGCGGCCATTGTTTTTGGAAATGTTAAAAAGACAAAAATACGCTCGACCTAATTAAATGCCACGAGCGCACATATGTTTAGAGTTCTTCAATTCTCCACTCTTTTCATTCGAAAACACACATTGTGAATTATGCGTAATTGTGATGAATACAGTCAATCTGAAAAAAATAAACTTTTGCAATATAGATGGCGTTAATATACGTTTTCATAAAAACAGAACATTTTATCCACAAAGCGGCCGGAATTTGTTCAAAAATGACTCCGAATAATATCGATGGTAATGATTACCGTCATTTTTATGCCTCCCCAACGCAATAAATAACCTTTTGCCAGTGTGTACCTACACGGCCCACGGGTTGTTTTATTCCGCGTTTTATTCGCGTTATTATTTCGTTTTGTTTTATTTTATTATCGCGCGCGCATAAAGGCGGCCCACATTCGAGGGCATTAACATAACCATTCACTATGATTATTTATATAATGCTCGCGTCGCCGCGAGCTCGGCGCCTCCACCAGCCGCCCACTTTTGCTACCTTTAGTTACGTCGTTTTATACACGCTCCGAGGGCACGAACGACTCTGGCCTTTTGAAAAACCGTCGCGTCGCACACACAGTTACAGTTAGACAATGTTCGCGCTGTTAAGGTGAGTCGCCGTGAATGCGTCCGCCGAGCAAACTCGAATTTCCCAAAAACGCTGTAAAAAGTTTTTCATTTCAGACGACGCAGCGCCGAAGGCGAGTCTTATAATGGTCAATAAATAAGACAATTTTTGCATTTTATTATTACGCCGCTGACGGATACGCTTTATGCGGTTTTCAGAGCAAACGTAAAAGTCGCTACAATATAGGCAACTCTCCATACATACTCGCAGTTTGCAGTGTATGTGTGGTTGTCGCAATTTTAAACATTTCCTTCTCGTTTCTCTCCAGTGTTTCTTCGTTTCTCTGTTGTGTTTTTTTCCTCTGCGTACTTGTGTTTTTTCGGTCTCGAGTGGGAAAATGTTGAATATACGAAACTCTCCAGCAAATATTATTGCACGTTTTATATTCGAGCGCGTGTGCGTTCAGCGCTCTGGAGATTTCCGCGACCTTAAAATTCCAGCGTGCCGCCATTGTTGTCCGCGCATTAATGTTTCCGCCCTGCAGCGTCCGACGTGTAATATAAGTTGTATTCAAAAATGACAAAATTACCAACTCGCCGGTTATGTTGCTTATTTTAGCGTCCATTTCGTCGCGTGCATTTGACATTTTGCGCCAGCGCACGTACCAACAACATGGCATAATTTTCATTTCTCACCCCTTGCCTACACAAGCGTGCGGAGTCATGTGTTTTCTGTTTTGTGTCCTCGCGAAAACGGCTTAATTTGATAAGTAAAATTCCGGCCGCCGCTTCACACACCACAACAACAAGTTTTCGGGGGTGGGCCAAAGTCAACAAATTAAATTATTAATTTGGTCGAAACGGTAACTTGCTCCCCCTCAAGGCATTCCTGCTGCGGCTAAACGAATCAGCAAACGACTTAACTTGCAAGGAGTTTTTCCTCATTTATTTTCAAAACGCCCGAAAGTGCTGAGAGTACTGAAAACGCTGAAAGTAATTTATGACCGTCTGCTGTGCGAGATCAGCGCGAGCATATTTCACGAAAATAATTTTATTAATTTTTATTATCGCGGTCTGTCTGGCTGGACTTTTTCTGAGCGCCCGAATTGCATCCGCAGGACGCCGCCGCGCGCTTAACTTAATTTCGTTTGTTAATCATCCGGCGCGATTAAAACTGCCGGCGTGCGCAATAAAATTTCATTTGCGTCTGCCGCGGGCGAAATTTCGACACAAATTACACAAATCCAAAGTAAACTAAATCTAAATTACACTTGAGCTAAATTTATACTAAAAACAAAACCAAAAAAAAGTGCTTAATATTAATTTTTCTTTTATTCTAGATGCTCCTGTATGTGTCCAAGAACGTGAAGAACTCTACGGTGCGCTGAAACAAGAAACAGTGCAACTTCGATGTCAAGTGGACGCAAATCCTGCGCCTGTGTCCTTTCAATGGACATTCAACAACTCCGGCGATCAAACTGAGCTGCCATCGGCGCGCTATACTTCCGAACAGTCCTATTCAAAACTAAATTACACTCCCGTCTCAGACATGGACTACGGCACACTATCCTGCTGGGGTCACAACGAGGTCGGGCATCAAAAAATACCCTGCGTCTTCCAAGTCGTCGCTGCAGGTAAATCCATTAATTATCTACGTTTCAAAATGAGAAAAACAACAACTCCAACATGCTTTAACATAATGTTGACCGCAGGAAGTCATTTAAGTCGGGCTCTGAAACATGTCAAGTCTGAATTTCGGTTTTGTGCAAGTGCATTTATGCATGCGGGTGTAAACCTCATAATGGCGGATGAGAAATGATCCCGCGTTATCCGGAATATATGATATGATAATGCAATAGAGGTTCTCGCAGTCGAATGCGCGCTGGAAAATAAAACCAGGCCGTGAGTTTCAGGGCAGTTGCTGCAGCCAAGCGTGGTTTATACTAAACTAGCGGTACTCCACGACCGCCCACTACCGCTTCAGGGCATGCCACACATTTTATGTTTTATGTATGAACAGCAAGCGAAATTTGGCGCAGACCAACATCAGCAGAAACAGGGCTTATGCTTGAATTAAAATAAAACTTAGATTATACTGCGAAAAAAAACGTAATTATTTTCAAGTTTTAAGACATCGTGGGTTTGAATATTCCGGGCGAGTATTTGCGTGAGAAGGCTTGATACCAGATGGCAGCTGCATGTCGGAGAAAAGGGGTTAAACTTTCGGCGCATTTTATTCGACCGCAAATTCGCATAAAGTTATGAAAATGTATGCATCGCGCATATGCATGCATGCGCGCAGAGGCTTTATTGCGATTTATGCGACCGGCGGCGGCAGGGAGATTTTATCGAGGGGCACATATTGTCGCATAAACACGCTAAATCCGCGCGCTTTTCTTGCGCGCTGCTCGGGTTTTGTTCCACCGGGGCGAGCGACGTTAAACTTAAACGCACGCCAAAGCCGATAGCTAAAAAGCGACGCGCTTTAACACGCTGCCTCCAGCGCGGATGACGCCAAAAAGTGGCTACAATGCAAGCACGACAGATAGCACAGTGTAATTTGACGAGTTATGTAACTTGGACATTGTTGAAAGTCACGTGCTTTAAAATCGAGATTAACAACGCTTTAAAACGTTTTTACAGCTGTAAACCGTCAACTTTTTATAAGCCTCAAACATTCCCGGATATTCTCTCCACTGTGGCCTCGTTTTTTTCTCTTTTTTGTTTACTTACCAGGCATAATTAAGAAGAAAACTTTGCACTATGTGTTGGCTGGCATGCAACTTTAAAATTCAATATAACTTGTTGCTGCAAGCGAGAGAGCCTCCTCGAGAGCACTATTCCGACAAGCGTCTTGCCTTTTAAGAATAAACTTTAAGACTTTTTAATTGAATTTTAAATCCGGCGGGACTCGACGAAACGAGCGCCGCGTTTCGCCTTGCAACATTCCCGGTTCTCTTTGCTTTGGCAGGCCGAACATTAGCGAACTATACTAACATTACCAGCCGCGGCGTGGGCCAGCGTTTTCCGCAAACTATACAAAAAGTTTCCGAGCCGATAGTAATGTACGTCCCTTGGCAGACTGTGTTTGTCTTGCTGCTGGATTTTCTGAAAGCTTGCGCGAAAAGTTTTCGGCTAAGAATTGCCCTCTGCGAAATCTATTAAACGGAGGTCGCGTGCTCTCATAATCTGGACGTAAATAAATTTTAATTTGTTGCGGCCTTAGTCACCGCTACCAGAGCCTGTGTTTTGCTGGTAGTTGTGTCGCTGGCTTTTCAGCGAAATTCCGCGCCTAATTAGTCGCGTATTGTTGCAAACCTTGTTTAGGGTCGTGCAGAATGTGGCTGTAAACTGAGGCTTGAAGGATGTTCAAACGTTCCAAGTTTCCCTCGGCAAAAGTTTGTTGAAAAGATGAAAATTTTGCAGAAAAGTCGCAAAGTTTACGCTGTGGGGCGTGCTGAGATTATAAACACGATCCTTCATCATGACAACTTGTATCGTCAGTAAATTTAACCTTTGAGTATATATATTTCTAAATTTGCTGATTGATTGCTATTTAAATAGTACTCGTAAACTCCAATTAAATTTTGTGTGTTCCAGGACGACCATTTCCACTTTTAAACTGTACGGTGATGAATCAAACCTCGGATTCGCTGCAAGTGGAGTGTTCGGAGAGTTTTGATGGCGGCTTACCACAGAGCTTTCTAATGGAGATTGTTGAGTTACCTACAATGCGGTCACGATTGAACGTGTCCACCACCCGCACTCCTCCTAGTTTCTACGCTGAAGGCTTAGAACCCGGTGTCAGTTACAGAATAATGCTGTACGCCATTAACGCCAAGGGCAAGAGTGACGCAAGCGTCGTGGACACTGTCACGTTCAAAGGTGTCGCCAAATATACAGGTAATACTTTCCTATCCGTGGAGAAGAAAAATGTTTGATGACCGTGCTCAAAAGGTCGGAGGTCTTGTAACGTATGTCCAGATATAAATTTCGATTAAAAGTTTCTTAGAAGATTTCTCCCCTCGGGGCCGAACGCAAAAGTCGGTTAATATGTCTAAAGAGGAACGGCCTCACTTATCTGATTCCCTTTTCTCTGGGAAGGTGAAGCACACTGCGACGGCGATGTCCTTGTCGTGTCCTCGTTGCTTTTTTCGTCTCTTCCCTTTTAGAAAGCGAAGTAGAGCTCGCGCACGAGCACGCCGCGCACGTTCATTTCCATATTTTATTTCGAGTCTCATGTATAATTCATTTCCGTCTTTCTGGCCGTGTCTCCGCGCACGCGAGGCAATTCCTTTTACAAGATCTGGCGCTCGGCGTGAATCGCTCGGGATTGTTACTCCGAGAGCTCGATACAAAGTCTCGTTTGCTCTTTTAGTCCGTTAGTCGAGCCGCGCGGCGGTGAATACGCAATGCATGCGCGCGCCACCTACGCTTTTTATCACTATGACCCGTCGCGCGTCCGGTCAGCGCCGAGAGCGAGGAAATTCTGAATAATTTCGACCGAGGCGACCGAGCATCCGATGAAAGATATCTCTTTTATGTGCATAATTTTAACATATTGCCCCCGCAATGCCCACGGCGCACGGACGTGATATATTATTGCAATTTTTGATACTTTTTCCACATGAAATTATTCGACGTTGCTGTAGGTCGGTTTAATTAAACTTCGCATTCGTTTATTGCCTGCGCGCCGTGCCACAAATCCAAACAAATATCAATAAATCTCGATTTTATCGCCAGCCATAATTCTTGCAGGAAATTCAGCTACGATGCCGATCAGCCCGTTGATCCTCGCCCTGTTGGGGACAGCTGGAGTACTCGCTGCTGGTGTATGTTTAGTCCTGGTGGCGTTATGTAAGCGACACTATACACGACCATGCCATCGCGCAGACAACGGCAGTAAGCACGTGCCGATGGAGGCGGTCATCGCCGCCGAGGATCTCATCGTCGACGGACACATCACCGGCGTGCGATCGCCGACTTTGCCAGATCCGGTGCTCACCGAGACGGTGCGAAACGGCGCAAAAGCGGAGCCCACCGATCCGGACATCATTAGGAATCAATATGGTGAGTGATGTTTCATCACACGAACAGACCCAGCTTCCAGACGCTTCTCTTCTGGCTTTGGCGTTCACAATGATTGCAATGTTTCCATTTATATTGATACAGTAAATCGAACGGAAGGCGGAAGAATTCTTCGTTCAATTTCCTCTCTATTTAGACTTCATTTCTTTGCGTAGGACGAAAAAAAGAACGCGGTTGAATACAGAGAGTAAAACTGACTTCCTTTTACAATTTTACCATTTTGCCATTGCCTTCAATTCGCCAATATTCACATTTCGTTTTATTATTTTATTCTTTCAATATCTGCAAATTTACGGAGGAGTTTTGAAATGGAAATAAAATTATTGTTCCAGTGCAACGTCCTACACGCGGTTTTATGAAGGTGTACGAGCCACAGCAGGTGCAGCAGGATGTGGATGGCGAAGAGGACGAGGCCGACGACTTTGATTTTAGACATGTTGCCAAAGACAAACACAATCCAAATCAAACGGTAGAGATTTAATTTAATTTTTATTGAAAATTCATGTTTTTAATTTGGTTTTCTTGTGTAATAGATGTATAGAAGTCTACAGCGACCAGTACGGAATCCTGTGAACGCGCTGTCCGGCTCCCAGACGCTCACGCACAAATACCGAGGGCCTGAAGTGGTCACCACCTCCAATCGGATACAGGAGAGCTGCATATAATCTGATCATTGCGACCCAAATCGAAGGAGAAAAAAAACTGTTTTTATCATGTATTATATTTAATGTATTTAAAAATTAACAAATTGAATTCAAAATTCAACTAATCTCGTTTCAATCAAACCAAATTTTATTTTATTTTATAAATATTATTTATTTTAAGGTACCACGGATAAATTGATGTTCCTAGGAGTGTAAAATATCATTCACAGCCGCAGTACGCATATACAATTCCATCTGTGTGAGTAGCACTTTTTTAAAACTTTTTCCTCTGATGAGGTCAGGAGCAAAAGAGTTTCGTTTATTTTCCACGTATGTCAGCACTCAGCGCCTGATGATAAAGTATCTGCTTTCTGATGTTCTGATGCGCGTTTCACGCCCCCGATGAAAAGTGGCGAACGTGTGCAATATGATCGCGCGCGCGCGAGTAATAAGATGACTCCGCATCCACCCACTCCAAACGTCCGCATCGCGCCACTTTCGACCGCCGCCGCGCTGACGCTGGCATGTACTTGTAATATACTGTTTTGGCACTTTTTTTTGAAGGACCGCGCTCACTTTCCATTCCTGTAACGAGGCGACACCCGCACAACGCTCACTCATACGAAACGTCGACATGATTTATAGTCCCATCAGGCCGAGGTTAAATAAATTTTAAATGTGACGCTGTTTCCGAAAAAGAACCGAATTTATATTCTGAAGCGTGCGGTAATTAAACAAATATTTCTAGCGTGCTTCGAAGCCTCATTATTTATGAACGCGAGTCATAAAATAAAATATAATTTCAGGTCTTCATATGGTTTACCTGTTTATGATGAGGTTTGTGGTTGTGGAAATTTATCGACACTTTAATGCCCGATTAAGACGTCAGGCGCTCTCTCGAAGAGAGTTACTGCGGCTGAAGGGGCTAATTTGATTAAAAGTCACCCTCGTCTTCAATAAGTGCATATTTTTACGAGGCAATAAAGTGTCGGGCGTCTAGGTAAATAAATTTAACGCCGTATTAAGCACTCTCATATTGAGTCATATAATATTCTTATATCAACATTGCTAAATTCCGTTTCGGGGACTTTATGACCTGCGTCAATTCTGCGATTATGCGACGTCAAAGTTTTATGATTTGCACGCAGGGAATTAAAGACGTATCCGTGACAATCGTGGTGAATTACTCCGCGTATTTAACTTGGTGTTGAAGAAGTTCTCAGGTGAGGAGGGATGAATAAAGGCAAATATTTAAAGCGGGATTTGTAAACCAATTTCCTCGTTTCCTCGCGGCATTCATCAAAAGGTAGATTGATTTTATCTGGGCGCAGAGCCGCGTAATCAAATTCAATTTCGGGATGCTCGTAGACGAAGTCTGCGCTGAGAAGAAGAAGACTTCGACATTGATAATCTGAGAGTTAAAGCGGCACCGTGGTACGGGGACAGTTCGAGCTCATATTTACCTAGCGGGTTAGCGCTCACGTTCCTGCACCCTTCGTGCACCCACCACGACGAGACTTCGTCAAGACGCTTCGCCATAGATTGCACCATGAGTTTATTATTGGATTAGTCGAAACGGTCCGTCGCCTTTTCATCCCCTCTGCGCGCACGTTTTTCTTTTGAGCGTTCTTTGCGTTTTTCTTTTGCGCCGCCTTCGTCTGCAGTTTTTTTCGCATGTGAAAGCTTTCGTCAATTTCCCGACACGATGTGAACGTTCAATCTGCATGTCGGGGCGTTTTCCCACTGAATTTTCCCATTTTTCCACTTTCCCACTCGCGACAAGATACGATTATGTACTTTATAACATAATCGTTTTATCGGCGCCTTTTTATACTCGCCGCGTGTGAATGTAAAGCCACGTCGGAATCGTTGAGAAATTGTAGAAGACGACTTTCCGGAAATGCTTCAATTTTTTTTCAGTGCCTGAGTGTGAAAAAATATGCAAGAAATAAGAAGGAGAAGGATGAGTTGTCTGAAGAGTTGTCGACACTCACAATTCCGGTATGAATTTATTAGAAAACTTTCGCCTTTGTCGATGCCCCCGACACTCGGCGTCCGGACTGAATGAAGTAATTAAAATTCTTTGCAACTCTCATTATATTGATTAGCCTCGAGGATGGCTGATGCCACACGCGGCGCGAAAAGGTGAGTTTCAGTTTGGTGTTTTTATCATCACGCCGATTATTATTTTGAAGGAGAACTGAATTTTAAAAAGTAAGTAATTTTTATGAAAATAATGATTTTCACAAAGAATATCTGCATGCAAATTATTTCCAACTTCCTATGGAACATTGTGAAATGTGAGGCAAACGGTGTGGCCGGTGTGCAGCTCGTGGCGCGGAGAAAATTGAATTGTTTGTTGTTGATGGAAGTTATTCGCCGATTAGATTGCACGAGCGTTCGCTTGTCTCTGCCGGCTGCCACACGAGCGGATTGTTTCACATTTCGATTGTGTCGGATGCGTGTCATCGCGGCGTGCACGCGATTAGATTTTTATTATTCATAAAGCATAAATCACTTTCGCCGATACGCCGATCCGCGACACGCTGAAAAACGTGGGGAAAATTTAATCAGAAGCTGTAATCGATTTGTTCTCTGTTGATTTCAGTGTACAGAAGCAATATTCATGGCTACATAACGTGTTGTTGTATGTTTGTTACATAACTGAATAATATACCTAACATAATATTGCGCGCTGTGAAATAATTCGAGTGTTCGAAGCCAGCGCCAGCGAGGCAGGAAGTAAAAGGATGTTTGATAAGTTTTGAGTTTCAGTTGACTTTCGACCGGCAGCCGTAGCCGGCCCGGCCGCTCTAAGCGAAGCGTTAATTAATTTAATCAAATTAAAATTTAATTCGCAACTTGTCCAAATCAGCCATGTGTATTTTCACGACGGGCTAGGACTTCGCTATTGGGCACCGAACGAGTTTTCAGTTAATAGACTGACTGTAGCCAGGCACGCTGTTAGTTCGGATAGAATTAAATATTTAAGTTAATTAGAAAGTTGTGCGAAATCATTTTTCACGTATTGCTATTCATGATTAAATCGTTATTTATTTTCTTTTTCTGATTAACAAATCAGAAAATTCTGTGTAATTAGAATGATGCTTCCGTTTTTTTCTGCATTTCCATTAAATAATTAGCATATTTTCTAAAGTCGTTTTATATGGTGTTATTAATATTAATATATGTATTTCTGGTACTTAGTTTACAGATACTTACTATACTCGTAATTAAAATTATTTATAATTAATTGCATAATACTCAAGAAGATATAAATGATATAAATATTTTATCTTACAAGTATCTTTAATAAAGAATACTTGATGTTAGCTATCATGTTTTAGGAATGAATGAAAAATAGTTAATTAGGATGATAGTAAAAAGACATTTTCTATGGGTTTACAGAATTGTTTATTATATGTGTAAATAAATAAAAACATGGCCTACAATTGTATATTGTAATAATACTGCCATTAGTAAAAATAATAAACTGTGGCATGTAAGCTATTGCCATCTATTTATCAAGCCTTGAAGCTATCCAGTAACCAGGTTATTGATTTTTGGTAACTACTTTTCGGCAGAGGGCGTTATCAGAATAAAAGTTCATTTTAATTCAAGTGTAGCCACTGTATGATGCTCAAGAACCCCGGCGTTTTACAACGTTATAGAAAGATGTCACTACAGGAAATATAAAATAACTAATTATGGATATTTCATGCAGGTGGGTTTATGCAATGCTGGCGACATTAGTGTTACAGAATTAAATTCTTATTTGGTGTGAACAAATGAACACGAGTTGCACTGGTGTAATTAAAATATGAAAATATTATAATAACACTGCATATTCTTCATTAAACAGGTAAACATTAAGTTGTAGTTGCAACCTCTTCAAGTTATATTACAATATGATTCTGTGATTAAATTGTTTGGTAAACACAGATATAAACACAACCATTTTTTCATTCAATTGTATGCCCGGGCAAAATCTCTGTATATCGAACTTGTTTTGAAGTTTAGTTTCACGGCTTACCGCATTAACCGAAGACTTGGCACTAGTGCCACTTTTCAAACTTGAACGACTATGCTCGATAAATACCGAACGCATGCAGTTTTACCATCAGCGCAAAATTACTGTGTCAGCAGTTGTTCTACTCGCGCCGGTGTGTCCGCAGACGTTCCTCTTGCAAACCTCGTTTGTTTTTGAAGTTCGTTATCCATTGAAATTTATCAATTGAAATTCCATAAGAAATTAATTTCAACTTTACGTGCTACTCGGTATTTATGTTGTAAATTCAAGGTGCGTTGCGTTACATCTCTGGAAAATTGAATTCGAACTGCGGGGGACATCTGTTGTAGTACGCCATCGTTCCACAGGTAGGCTTAGAATTTAATAAATATTATTTATTTATTTCTCATGATTAATTTCGTTCATATAACAGTCTCGTAAACGGCATTTATGGTGCTTTGTATGTACGCATTCGAGAAGATTTCAACCTTGTGAAATTAGTCAGTACATGAAATAGAATTGTTATGGTTTTGCCTCAACGCGTTTATCAATGTCAGCGTGTAAACAAGTTTTTATAGCGTTCATATCTTGCAGTCGGTGTGTTGAAGATTACACACAGTTTAGACGTGTGAATATGTGTTTAACATTGTTTTTAAATTCCACGTTTTACTTTCTTTCCTCTAAATAAAGTGAAATATGATACAATTTGAGTATAATTAATTTTATGATTTTTTCGGTTTTTTTATGAAATTCGGGTTTATCTCGGGAGCCGTTCTTGCGTTTTCAATGATTCATTCAAATTTATATAGCGCGAGAGGTATTTTATAAGATGCGCTATTGCCACCCACGGAAATAGTGCTGGAAGTGCCCTAAAATCACGCTCAAAGTTTCTCGATTTTGGCGAATTTTTGAAACACTTGGTGGAAATTCAGCTGTATCTGGTGAACCGTTTGTGCGAATAATGATTCTTTGAAGTTTAGATAGGGCGAGAGGTATTTTATAAGATGCGCTTATGCCACCCCCATAAATATTGCTGGAAATGCCCTAAAATTACTCTCAAACTTCAAATCGATTTTTGCGAATTTTCGAAATACTCGGTGTAAATTTGGTTTTACACTTGAGCCCGACTTGGAAAAAGCACCCTTCTTTCATCAGATTGTAGCTATTGAATTTCTTTATTATTTTCATAAATAACTTTTGTGCTTAATAGGTTGCAATTTTGTGTTTCGAAAGAATAATTTTGGTTTGTTTTAGGGGCTAAATCTGAACCTGACATCGTTGGAAAACCATTCTTTCATCAGAATGTAAGTATTGAATTTTTTTATCATTTTCATTAATAACTTTAGTGATTGGCTTGTTAATTAGTAGCAAAAATTGCATTTTTGTGTTTCGAAAGACTAATTTTGGCTTGTTTTAGGTGTTTTGCACATGAACCTTATCATCGGAAAACCAATCTTTCATCAGAATGTAGGTATTGAATTTCTTTTTTATTTTCATTAATAACTTTAGTGATTAGCTTATAAATTAGCAGCACAAATTGCATTTTTGTGTTTCGAAAGACTAATATTGGCTTGTTTTAGGGGTTTTGCACATGAACCTGACATTGTAGGAGAACCATTCTTCCATCAGATTGTAAGTATTGAATTTCTTTTTAATTTTCATGAATAACTTTAGTGATTAGCTTATAAATTAGCAGCACAAATTGCATTTTTGTGTTTCGAAAGACTGATTTTGGCTTGTATTAAAGGTTTTGCACATGAACCTGATATCAGTGGAGAACCATTTATCATCAGATTGTAGGTATTAAATTTCTTTATCATTTTTATTAATAACTTTAGTGATTAACTTATAAATTAACAGCACAAATTGCATTTTTGTGTGTCTAAAGACTAATTTTGGCTTGTTTTAGGGCTTTACAACTGAACCTAACATCCTAGGAAAATCATTCTTTCATCAGATTGTAGGTATTGAATTTCTTTATCATTTTCATTAATAACTTTAGTGATAAGCTTATAAATTAACAGCACAAATTGGATTTTTGTGTGTCTAAAGACTAATTTTGGCTTGTTTTAGGGGTTTTGAACATGAACCTGACATTATAGGAAAACCATTCTTTCATCAGAATGTAAGTATTGAATTTTTTTATCATTTTCATTATTAACTTTAGGGATTAGTTTGTTAATTAGCAACAAAAATTGCATTTTTGTGTTTCAAAATACTAATTTTGTCTTATTTTAGGGGATTTGCACATGAACCTGACATCATAGGAGAACTATTCTTTCATCAGATTGTAGGTATTGAATTCCTTTATCATTTTCATAAATAAATTTAGTAATTAGTTTGTTAATTAGCAGTAAAAATTGCATTTTTGTCTTTTGAAAGACTAATTTTGGCTTATTTTAGGGAATTTGCACATGTACCTGACACCATAGGAGAACCATTCTTTTATAAGATTGTAGGTATTGAATTTCTTTATCATTTTCATAAATAACTTTAGTAATTAGTTTGTTAATTAGCAGCAAAAATTGAATTTTTGTGTTTTGAAAGACAAATTTTGGCTTGTTTTAGAGGTTTTGCACATGAACCTGACATCATAGGAGAACTATTCTTCCATCAGATTGTAGGTATTGAATTCCTTTATCATTTTCATAAATAAATTTAGTAATTAGTTTGTTAATTAGCAGTAAAAATTGCATTTTTGTCTTTTGAAAGACTAATTTTGGCTTATTTTAGGGAATTTGCACATGTACCTGACATCATAGGAGAACCATTCTTTTATAAGATTGTAGGTATTGAATTTCTTTATCATTTTCATAAATAACTTTAGTAATTAGTTTGTTAATTAGCAGCAAAAATTGAATTTTTGTCTTTTGAAACACAAATTTTGGCTTATTCTAGGGGATTTGCACATGAACCTGACATCATAGGAGAACCATTCTTTTATAAGATTGTAGGTATTGAATTTCTTTATCATTTTCATAAATAAATTTAGTAATTAGTTTGTTAATTAGCAGTAAAAATTGCATTTTTGTCTTTTGAAAGACTAATTTTGGCTTATTTTAGGGAATTTGCACATGAACCTGACATCATAGGAGAACCATTCTTTTATAAGATTGTAGGTATTGAATTTCTTTATCATTTTCATAAATAACTTTAGTAATTAGTTTGTTAATTAGCAGCAAAATTGCATTTTTGTCTTTTGAAACACAAATTTTGGCTTATTCTAGGGGATTTGCACATGTACCTGACATCATAGGAGAACCAATCTTCAATTAGATTGTAGGTATTGAATTTCTTTATCATTTTCATAAGTTACTTTAGTAATTAGTTTGTTAATTAGCAGCAAAAAAATGCATTTTTGTGTTTTGAAAGACAAATTTTGGCTTGTTTTAAAGGTTTTGCACATGAACCTGACATCATAGGAGAACCATTCTTAGGTGGGCTAGAATACACGCATATGAATGAATGTAAACAAGTTTTTTTATTGCTTTCAGCGAGCGTATCTCAACAGCGATAGTGACGTCGTGCAGTTGCTGTCGGCTGTGCAACTTAAGGCATACGCAGTTCCATTTTGGTTGTCGAGTGAATCGCGCGTTTTCAGTGCGATTACTTTCTGTTCTTCAAATCATAATTAGATAAATTGCGAAATGTTCAATTAACAATTGACGGCTGAAATCGGATGTGAGTGTGGAGTTATCGGTGGTTCAGCTATGCGCGTGTGATGTTCCGTCGGCCGTCGGTGATTGTTTTTCGCTTGTGGAATTACATTGCACTCGTGTTAAGCCATGTATAAATAACCTGCGTGACCACACATACTTATTAATAACTTGGATTTAGGATTAGTTCCTGCAAATAGACAACGTTGGTGTCCTAGGAAGAAGTTTGTGAGTGCACGATCCATGCAGTTTACAATATGACGGGAGTGTTGGAGATGCGCGCATTTAAAGGCAAGTCTTTACTGCAACGGGTCTTGGATAGCTGTAGATATTACTTTATTTAAAAAATGCATATATTGTTAAATATAATTAATAAAACACAATTTAAAATTTCAATCGCATTCACATTTCTTTGTGACATCCTCTTTATCGTTTCCAGGATAAGCGTCTTACATCATATTGCGTATGAATCTTGTGTGCGTCAACCGTGTACAACATAGCTAAGGCTTGTGTTGTTGTTTTTAAAAAGTTGGATAAAGTAGAAACATAAATAGAAGAATCAAATATTAATGATCAAAACACTCGGTGGTCGAGTGGAGACGTGCACCTGCTGGTATGCTAGCAGACACGGATCAAATCTCAGGTACAGGAGGCATTTTTCTCAAATATAAAAATGTCAGGTGTAATTTGGGTTGCATATATGAATTGCAACGAAATATAAGAGAAATTCAAATACAAGTGAAGGCAATAAGAGAGAAGTAAGAAAGAAAGTGGAGAACGGGAGAACAGAGAAATAGAAGATAGAAGGAAGAGAACAGAGAGTAGAGTAGAGAAGAGGAGGAGATAGAAGAAAGAGAACAGGGGAGGATCAGATTTTTTGAATTTTTTGGCACGTGTCGTTATAAGACAGTCTACGGTCGATCTCCCAGAGCGCCTCCGGCGCTCTGGTCGATCGCCCACTGCTTCGATCCGTCCATTGCTCCCGGCCCAACCTACAGCTACGATTTCTCTGCGCTTCATCCCCGGAATTATCAGGCATATCAACAATTTTTATGGTGGGGGATCACCCCCGGAGAGAGGGAACTCCTTATAAGGACAATCCTTATAAGGTCTTGTTCAAATATTTCTAAGTTTTAAGTCTCCTCAAGAGAGGTGACACTTAAAAATATTCTTACAAGTTCTGACCTGTACCTGAAATGAGAGAAGGAGCACACAACTCACACAGGATACCTTAACAATTTTTATAGTGGGGATCATCCCCTGAGAGAGAGAACTCTCTTAGAGACCTGTTCCTGAAATGATAGAAGGGGTACACACAAATCAAAGAAGTCAATATATCTTACTATTTATTTATTAACAATAGAAAACAAGTTTACATTTTACAAGTCAACAGAATACATGTCTCCATATTGAAATAGGACTTACGACCTGCATAGCCGCGGACATGCAAGCAAGTAGCACTTCGCAAAGTACTACCTGAATATAGAAATTAGAAAATTGCCCATTTTCGACGTGATTGAAAATGGAAACAAATATACAGGGTGTAACAAAAAGAAAATTTAAAGTAAAAACAAAACTCCAAATATTACAAATGTCGCTCGTTTTCATCAACAATCAGGAAAACTAATATACAGGGAGTTACAAGTAGAAAATTCAAAATGCAAAGAAGAAAAACCTAAAAACAACCGTTAATGCTAAAATTTCACGGACAACAAGGAAAACAAATATACAGGGTGATACAAAAAGAAAATCAAAATTTCATGAAAGAAAACACTCGGGAATAACAAATTTAGAAAACTTATAATAGAAAATCAAGAAAAACAAACATACAAGGTGATACAAATAGTAAATTCCTTAATTTAAAAATAAAATACAAATTTTAAGTAGAAAACGACCCGAAAACGATAAATTTTGTCAGTTTTACATTAGAGAGCAAGGAAAAGTATTACATAGGGTGATATAAGAAGAAAATAGTTACATTTAATTAGAAAATTCAAAATTTTCGGTGCAGAGCATTGGATTCACGAGAGGGTGACACAACAAAACTACTAAATTTTGAATAAAGAATAGAGAGCTGGAAGAAAAATCAAAGAAAATTTAAATTTAATAAATGTAAAATTTAAAAAGAAAAGGTAGGAAAGTGATAGATAAATAAAACATCAATATGAATTTTATTGCAATCCTAAAATTTTCTTTGCGACGGGTTATCCAGATACGGCACAAGCAAGGCAAAATGTGTCGGCCGACGGCAAGACGTGTACACACGCGGGAAGAAATTTAAATTGTCTATTAAAACACGTCTCCGCGATTAGAGCATTATGACATAAAAAAATACGAACGAAGAAATTTTCACGCTATTAAATCGATGATTGACATGGAAAAAGCAAAGTCTGCAGTGAAACAAGAAAAATTTACATTGATACCATTGATACCCCGGATGTCAATTAAATTAAAATAATGTGATATATATATATATATATATATATATATATATATATTAAATATTAAACTTCCACATGCAATACAAGTGTATTATCCGACGTTTTGTTTTATCATTACGAGCAAGTACTCTTGCTTAAGTAGAATCCCACCGAGGACAGAAGTTAATGATATGTAGTCGAAATTAACAATGGTATATATAATCGAAAAATGCTAATTGCCGACGGTCCAGTAACGCATAATTGATGACACCAATTTTAAAATCATTTCATGCACAAATCAATGTTTAAAAAACTCTAAACACGTCTATTGTCATTAAGTGCCGATATTTATCAATACAATGTTTTGCCGTTCAGTTCATTGAAATGAAAGAACAAAAGATGGTAACGAACCGCGTGCAGGAGAAAACAGACTGAACCGTTCGCACATTTGTAGTACAAGCGCAGCGTGTAGCTGGTTCAACGAGATAAAAAGTTGTTTACATAAAAATCCCGATACATCTATAGAATTGAACATGAAATAACACGTCTGTCACAAACGATTCCCCACATAACTATCAATTTCTACAGCATGTTTAAAACACTGCACTTTGTAAAATAAAAATACATAATTATATAAGGGACTTCGTTAGCTCAATAAAAACTAAAGTAAAATTTTATTTATTATACTTTTTATGTACTTCAAAGGCTGACTTAACACAAACATTTTTGTAAAGGTTACTTCACACTTTATATGTGTAGTATAGTAAAGTAAAGTTTCTTAGCAACTAGAAAATTATAAATTATGGAAGATTGGAAAATTCTCTATGAGATGGAAGATTAAAATAATTTAATTTAATGACAACGCGTCCGCGTGTACTAAAAAAAAAACTACAATTCCTAGCGCAACGAGTACTATGACGCATACGCACAACTTTCAATATAACTCGCGTTACGGAATTTGGTCGCAATAAATATCCATACAGGGTGATGCAGAATTAAATTCCGCATCTGGAAAAATTATTCTGAACTAATTATGACACCGCGTTCGCATGCTATACTAAAAAAACTACAATTCTCAGCGCAACGAGTACTATGACGCATACACACAACTTTCAATATAACTCGCGTTACGGAATTTTGTCGCAATAAATTCAAATACAGGGTGATACAAAATTAAATTCCGCATCTGGGAAAATTATTCTAAACTTATTATGACATCGCGTTCGCATGCTATAACAAAAACTACAATTCCTAGCGCAACGAGTACTATGACGCATACGCACAACTTTCAATATAACTCGCGTTACGGAATTTGGTCGCAATAAATTCTAATACAGGGTGATACAGAATTAAATTCCGCATCTGGGAAAATTATTCTGAACTAATTATGACACCGCGTTCGCATGCTATACTAAAAAAACTACAATTCTCAGCGCAACGAGTACTATGACGCATACACACAACTTTCAATATAACTCGCGTTACGGAATTTTGTCGCAATAAATTCAAATACAGGGTGATACAAAATTAAATTCCGCATCTGGGAAAATTATTCTAAACTTATTATGACATCGCGTTCGCATGCTATAACAAAAAAACTACAATTCCTAGCGCAACGAGTACTATGACGCATACACACAACTTTCAATATAACTCGCGTTACGGAATTTTGTCGCAATAAATTCAAATACAGGGTGATACAAAATTAAATTCCGCATCTGGGAAAATTATTCTAAACTTATTATGACATCGCGTTCGCATGCTATAACAAAAACTACAATTCCTAGCGCAACGAGTACTATGACGCATACACACAACTTTCAATATAACTCGCGTTACGGAATTTTGTCGCAATAAATTCAAATACAGGGTGATACAAAATTAAATTCCGCATCTGGGAAAAGTATTCTAAACTTATTATGACATCGCGTTCGCATGCTATAACAAAAAAAATGGTTGTTTGTAAAGTAGGTTTACGATCGAGATGTTTACGTGATAACGTCTTATTGGTGATATAAGTTTTGTTTGTTGCAATTGTTGTAAGGCTCCCCGCACACTACAAACTTTTTATCGGCCGATAGTTTGGTCGGGCTTATAATCAGTATGAAGATGTATGCAAGTCCGCATTCTACCTACAACGATTTTGTATCGGCCGATAAACAAGTTTGATGGGCTACCCAACTGCGTTCAAACTAAACTATCGGCCAACCAGGCCAACTATCGGCCGACTGCGATATCAGTATGGAGCTCGTCGCAAGCGCGCACAATGACCGATTGTTTAGTCGGCCGACTTGATCAATTTAGTTCGCTCAGAGTATTGGTGCAGTCGGCCGACTGTTGTCTAGTGTGCGCACTCACCACAAACCCAACTGTTTAGTTGGCGAGTGTGCGCGCTCACAGCCCAACCCGATCAAAATATCGGCCGATAAAAAGTTTGTAGTGTGCGGGGAGCCTAAGGTTATAACGAGAGGGGGGTATACCTGCGATCGGCCTCGTGAGGCCTCGCGACACAGTTTCTGAACCGGTCACCCGTAAAACGATTTTAAAGACGTTATCACGTCAAAAACTAGTATTCCTAGCGCAACCAGTACTATGACGCATACGCACAACTTTCAATTAAACTCGCGTTACGGAATTTGGTCGCAATAAATTCTAATACAGGGTGATATAGAATTAAATTCCTCATCTGGGAAAATTATTCTGAACTAATTATGACACCGCGTTCGCATGCTATACTAAAAAAACTACAATTCTCAGCGCAACGAGTACTATGACGCATACACACAACTTTCAATATAACTCGCGTTACGGAATTTTCTCGCAATAAATATCCATACAGGGAGATGCAGAATTAAATTCCGCATCTGGAAAAATTATTCCGAACTTATTATGACATCGCGTTCGCATGCTATAACAAAAAAACTACAATTCTCAGCGCAACGAGTACTACGGCGCATACACACAACTTTCAATATA